AAGTTAATAATTTGAAATCCAAACAATTCAAATTAATAGCATAGGTTTTATTTTACCTTTATCTCAATAGTTTAGAGGTACATCATGACATTAAATGAATTAAATTACGATGTTTAAACATTTGATCTGTGAGGTTAATATGAGTTGGGGGTCAGGCGGGTTATGGGACGTTTGGCAGCTCTTGATCATGGTGAATTGATAAAGACAAGTTAGTGATAGTAGTGGCCTCCATATCTTCATTCAAATGATCAATTGGCTATCGATTTGGTGCCTAACGCCTTCATGCACCACGAGATAGGAAATTAATAATGCATTTTCTTTCATCAATCACGTTGAAAAGCAATGGAACATGGGTGTAGAAACAAGTAGAAGGATTGATTTGGGCATTATATGTGTGGCACGACTCCAATTAGCTGTCGCTATTTAAAATGATCAAGCAATTAGCATAATATTTGTAATTGAAAGCTCATGGCAATAAATTATTGAGCAACTATTTGCTTGCAAATTGCCTTCTATCCTTGGCTCGGTTTTAACCATTTAGTTTCTCGAATGTACATTAAAAAAAAAAAAAAAAAAGCTTCACACGATTCAAGTGAAAATTGAACGTCAATCCGCAAGCTATAAATCTTTTTTCATTTTCTTTTATATTTGACATCGAGTTAAACAGTAATTGAATTTGTTGTTTATATTATTATCTGGAATTCAAATAAAATAAAATATTTTAAAAGAAAGAAAATGTTATGAATATCGTTGTCCGATCAAGGATTTACTGTATAAAATTTGAATTAACAAATTGTATCATTCTTGTAAAATAAAAAATTACTTAATCAAGTCTTTATATCAATTTAAATATTAATTAAATTTTTGTATCAAATTAATTCTTTTAATATAAAATTTTTGTTAGTGATTTAATTAATAACTTTAAGTTAATCGCATAATCCAGTGATGCGTATGTTTTTTACCATTGCCTCTATTATTTTTTCTTTTTATTTTTTATTATTCAAAGCATTTATAGAAAATATATAAAAAAACGTAAAGACAATCGGATAATTTTTTTGAAAACTTTAGTTATTTTTATTTTTTATTTTTCTATACTCTTTATAAGTACTTTAAGTAATAAAAGAAAGAAAGAAACTAACATGATCAATAGTTAAAAAATACGTATCGCTTGACTATACAGTTAATTTAATATCGTTAGTAAAACGACCAGCTAAAGACTCACATAATGATATTAAATAAATTTATTGAATACATAAATTTGATTACACTTAATTTAATTCAAAAAACTAATTAAATAATTACTTGTGGTACAGAGATAATACGAGTCACTGACCTCGTAAAATTCAATCGGAAAAAGATTTGATTTTAGAGCATGAAATCCGGCAAACCATTAAAAAAGAACAATAGCTTCGACTAATCAATTAATATTGGGGTATATTTGGCATTTTAAATGAATACATCCAACGGTTTTTTTGAAGCGTGACAACTTCAGATCCGCGGCAGGATCCTATAACTCGAGTCAATCTAGTGTAATCTGGTTGAGTTTCCAATCAGATGCGCATCCAAAGCTAGAGGCAAAGAAAGTCATCGGTAGCTCCTGCGTTGACCTTTGTCCACATTCTAGCACCGCATTACATGTCGTTTTGGTGTAAACTTCTAATTTGTGTTCTTTTTCTCTCTCTTGTATCCTTGCACATTTATTTAGTCATTGATTGCGCATTCGAGGTTCAATCTTCTCTGGGGAAAAAAAATATAGGTTTCTCAAGTACAAAAAGAAAAAAAGATACAATACCTTAATCATTAAATTTATGTTATAAATTGGAGTTGATGCAACTTTTTGCATACTTTTTTTCTTTTCTTTCATTTTTTTGGTTGCAATGTTGGCAATATGAGCCTGATCTAAATGATGGAAAAGTTGGTCAGCATTTACCTGCAACTAAATAATTGTGAGGTCATTGTTGTAAAGAAAATGGCGCCGGTGCAGCTAAATTTCACTCTTTAAATTTTAGCAACATCACGAAATTTTCCAAGATAAAATACAATTTAAGGATTGTTCAATAATTAAATTTTATGGGTCGATGCTTCTTTGTCAGGTACTATTTTCTCGAGTACTTCGAACTTTCAACTGCCACGTCTTTCGAAACTCGGTGTTTGGAATTGTATGTGCCATGCATCATCTTAATTATCATGTAAACATACATTGCTAGTATCCCAAAACACGTTGACACATGAAAATTTTGAATTCAACGTCGAAAGAGAGACAAGGAAATTGGGAGTTTGTCTGGCTTTTACACGATCCATGGGGTCATTTCCCAAGTCAGATTCTTAAGTTTAATATACTTTGTTCTTTGGATTTTAGCCATGCAGACACAGAACACACGGTCTCGTACGGTGTTTCAGATCCTTGTTGGCTACATTTATCAGGTATATAATTAATCCGATTACTTCTAGAAAACGTTGAAGAGGAAAAATAAATATCTGGATGATATATCACAATAACATGCATGGTCAACACACTTGGATTTGTAATAATTCATGATTTCCGAGATTCAGTATTACTTGTACAGATCTTAATCACATGGGACATCTAATTGGAAGATGCTGCACGTTTTCTAGCTAATTCAGTAACCATGTAAATTTAATGTTAAGTTTCAATGCTTTCACCTGTCAAAATAAATAGTAATCCACCTATTTCAAAGAAATTGTCATCGTTGATTCTTTATATAGTTTAAGAACATTATTAATTATTATACTATATTGACATTTTTTATTTATATTTTTATTAAATTTGTTAGTTATCAAATGTAATTATACATTTCACGTAATCAATATTAATTCAAGAAGAACAACTATCCAAAATTAAGATGGCAAATCAAACCAGATTTTCAACATGTAATAAAATCCTTATGAGAATAAATATTTTTCATGATAAAATTGATTTTTTGTTAGCAAAGAACATGAAATAGAAAAAAAATTGATTTTTTTTATTAATTATTTTTTTAAAAAGATATATTATTTAAAGTTTTGACTAAAAAATTATTTTAGAATGAATATAAATGAAAAAAAAGGAACAATTTTGTTAGAACGAAGAAAGTTGTATTTATTATGCAAGATGTGGGCTTTAGATAAGAGACAACCTTTTACATCATGTATTGATTGGTTTAAATTTTAAAATTTATTTACTTACAATAAAGTTGAATTTGAAATACATTGCAAACCCATGTTTCCTTTTTTTAAAAAAAAAAAAATTTGGATAGATATTTTTTAAAAAATGAATGTTTAGAGATGATTAATTGAAGAACTCAATCAAATTAAGCTAATCTAAACATGGCCTTGTGTTAACTATAACATCATAAATATATGATTGGGTTTGCATGAAAATTAACCACACGTGCCATTGACTTGACACAACAACTTTAGGGGTGATCGAGGTTTTGGGCACTCTCGTATTACTAGCTAGAGCTCCCTATGCAAAGGCAAGGGACATGGCTCGAAAAACGATGGGTAATGTTTTGCATGCTGTTTCTCACTTATCATGCCAGTGGTCCATCATGTTGTTGTTGCTCAAATAGGGCTTTGAAGCACAAAGAAAGCACTTTTCCCCAACGTAAGTGGACTGGTGTTTCAAGGGCTACCCATTGGTGTTTCAGGGGCCTCTTTTAAAGAGAGAAGAGAATGGTTTTCAGCCTTGGGTGCTTTTTTCTACTTCTCTTTGTCTTTTATACAATTGAATAACTTGAATAGCTTTTCCTGTGAGGTCAATTCTCTATTCAAATTTTATCTTTAGAATAAAGTTCATCAATATCTAAGCGAGCTAGCTAGGTTAGTGGGGGCTACTACAAAAGCTCTAGCGTTTTCATGATTCTCGAGATGATAAACCATGCAACGCAAATGCATTCATGGGTGATGTCTTTTCTAAAATCTTTCTTTATGGGCAGTGAGATTGCTTGTGTTGCCTACGTTGCCAGGTGGCGAGAAGCTTTTGACCAACTCCCACACAAACTAATCATGATTAGTCTTCAAGAAACCACCATAAGAGGGTCCATTTGTACAGTAATTTTCTGATCCTTTCCATCAACTATAAATGTATAACAACAGTATTCTGATCGTTAGCTAAATTGCTGCATGAACGATGTAGCAGAGAAGGGGAGTAGTAAAGTAATTGAACTTATTGTTTAAGGGTCAAGATTTCAGGCCCAAATTCTTTCTCAGAGTGAAGATTGCAGGCCCAAATGATAACTTTGATTTCTGAATCCAAGACTTCTTTCTTCTGTTAGTTTGGACCACAAAACAAAACCCAGGACTTGGGTTGGATAGAAGTTGAATCTAAATATCAATTAACCATATAGCCAGCCCAATTGAAATAAAAACGGTTTGTATCAAGAGAATTTTTCTTTTCCTTTTTCTCTGGACTAATACCACACCGAAGGATGTATACGACGTGTTGCTATTCGTTTTCGGTTATTCCTTCCTCCATCATGATTGTCATTAGGTCACAGGAGTTTCTTGCAGTATAAAAGCCAGACTTGGTCGTTGCTAGTTTGTTAGTCACAATTGTCAGGTATAAAAATAGGCAGCTAAAAATCCTGATGCAGATCATTTTACTATTAACCTTCTCTATAATTAGAGCTAATCTCAAAATTCAACAAGCAATACAAAAACAACCGACGAATCTTGGTCTAAATTTAGGGAAAAGCTGCCAACATCAAAACAATATTACACTGTAGAACTTTCTCTAAAATTTAGGAGCTAGAATCAAAATCTAACAAGTTAGCAGCATTGGAACAATCACACAATAGATCCTATAGTGCATGATAAATCCATTTTTTTTTATGGTTACAATTATCTCTAGAGAGATTGTTGCATAGCCTCTAAATATCACCCCGACCTTTCTGTCAAGTGTTTCTCGAATTTTCACTGCCTAATTAATTTAACCTTTTTCTATTTCACGATATCTATAAGGAGCCTATGGTAGCATAGCAATGCAAACCTTCACAAAAATGCATGCCTCTGGCTACTACTTAGTAATCTCTCTCCTCCTTTTATCTTCCTTTTCATCTTTCTCCTTAGCTCCATCTCATTCTGAAGCCTCGTTCATCGCTCATCGCCAACTCTTGACCCTTAATGAGAATGCAGATTTGCCCGATGGTCTTGAATTTAAACTTGACCTTAACATTACCTTTCCCAATCCAAGGCTTAGAAAAGCATACATTGCACTTCAAGCATGGAAAAAAGCCATGTATTCAGACCCTTTCAATAGCACAGGAAATTGGGTAGGGCCAAAAGTTTGTGATTACAATGGTGTCTTTTGTGCACCTGCTCTTGATGACCCAAACCAAAACGTTGTAGCTGGAATTGATCTCAACCATTTTGACATTGCCGGCTCTCTTCCAGTTGAGTTGGGTCTATTTACAGACATTGCTCTATTTCACATCAATTCCAACAGGTTTTGTGGGATCATTCCTGAAAGTTTCTCAAGGCTAACTCTTCTCCATGAGCTAGACGTGAGCAACAATCGTCTTGTTGGACCCTTCCCAGAAGTTGTTATATCATTGCCTTCACTCAAGTACCTTGATATTAGATACAATGATTTTAACGGTGAATTGCCACCTGAGATTTTTGAAAAGGATCTTGATGCATTGTTCTTGAACAACAATAGGTTCGTATCAACTATTCCTGAAACTCTTGGATCATCTCCTGCTTCTGTTGTGGTGATTGCCAATAACAAGCTTACAGGCTGCATTCCAAGTAGCATTGGCAATATGAACAACACATTGAACGAAATTATTTTCTTGAACAACAGCCTTTCAGGCTGTTTGCCATCCGAGATTGGAAAACTTGGAAAAGCAACAGTTTTTGATGTTGGCTCAAATTCATTCAGTGGGGTATTACCAAGGTGTTTCAAAGGTCTGAGTCAGGTCGAGCGCTTTGATGTATCCCACAACCTGCTTGCAGGTTTTGTTCCTGAAGGAATATGTAAATTGCCTAACTTGGTGAACTTCACATTCTCCTATAACTATTTCAATGGCGAGGCACAAATATGCAACCCGCCAAAGAGAAAGGACATCGCTATGGACGATACAAGCAACTGTTTACCAGGCAGGCCTAAACAGAAATCGCCAAAGATATGCTATCCAGTTGTAAGCAAACCTGTTGATTGCAGCAAGTCGATGTGTGGAGGATCATCATCCAGTTCGTCCTTGCCAAAGCCGCATCCACAACCGTCACCATCACCTAAGGCACATCCGCCAAAGGTACCAAAGCCAGCTCCAATCCCACCTAAGTCAAAATTGCCTCCAAAACCAGCTCTATTTCCTGCACCAGCACCTATCGATGATCCTCATGAAAGATCCCCAATAGGCCATTCTACTCCACCTCCACCTCCACTAGTCCATTCACCACCTCCTCCAATTCGCTCTCCACCACCACCTCCAGTTCACCCTCCGCCAGGACCAGTTTATTCACTACTTCCACCGGTTCATTCACCTCTGCCACCAGTTCATTCTCCACCAACAGCAGCTCGGGTTCCAGCACCAGCACCTAATGATGATCCTCACGACGAATCACCAATCGGCCATTTTCCTTCATCTCCACCTCCACTGGTCCATTCACCTCCGCCACCAGTCCATTCCCCACCTCCTCCGGTTTACTCTCCACCATCAGCAATCCATTCACCACGGCAAGTTCCTTCTCCACCCCCACCAATCCACTCTCCACCTCCACCAGTTCATTCCCCACCACCACCAGTTCATTCCCCACCACCACCTGTCCATTCCCCTCCTCCTCCTCCTATGGTTTCTCCACCACCTCCAGAGGTCGTCTTTCCACCAAATCTCGGCTTCTTATACTCGTCGCCACCTCCACCAATGTTTCCAGGATACTAAAACTCTGCAACTGATATAAAAAAACTCTTTTTATTATAGTTTTACATCACAAGCCCACTTTTTGTTAGTCCATAGTTTGTAACTGTAGTAGTCTATAAATTGTAATTGCTCTCCCCCTTGTTCCTTAATTTATTTAAGCAATTAATAGAGAATTATCAGATTGTATCATGCCAAGATATTTTGGAATTGCCATTCTGATTTTTATTGATCTTAGAGTCCTGTTGGTTGAGGTCGGAATTAACATGTTTTGGTAAAAAATTATTGCAGTATTATACCTTAAACTATGATTATCAGAATTTAGATTGTAAGTGAGACTCTAACTAAGTGCATAACTTGGTTAAACATACCCGACGTTACGTTTTAACTTCAACACTCTCTCCGTCTAATCGTCCATTAATCTTTTGCAGTACGCTGGAATCAATTTCAGATTCTTCTTATTTTTCATAAACAGAAGCGACAGGAAAGGTGAAAAGTTGTGTACTTATAATTCATTCACGTCTTCTTAATTCAGCCTTTTTTCTGAAAACGACGACGACGACGACGACGACGACGACGATAACCACACAAGCCTGGCATTCGTCATGGTGGCGGTCGAACAGTCTTAGGATTAATTGTAATAATGGTTGTTTACGATTCTATAGCACGATGGAAGGGCATTATACCTCACCACAAAGCACAAACACAAAGGGAATTACGAAACGGCCACTCCTATCAGCAACAAACAAAAAACATATCCCAGAGGCTAACCAACTCATGATCCAAGATATAGCCCGCAACTGCAAGAAACTCAAAAGCCATGTTGTTTTCCTTTATGTTTCCAAAGGTTGACTAATGATTAGTATTTTTTGGATGACTAAATGTGGATGCCTTTTTCTCTAAAAAAAAGAAAAAAATCACTCCTAATTTGATCAAAACTCAAAAGCTGACTTTTCCTACATGCAATGATCCTGTCATGAAAAAATATACCAACGATAATTTTTGCCAAGTCTCGGATATGGCACACGCCACTAACCATTTCAGGAGCGTGCAATTATGGTAACAAAGTAATAAATTACTTGATTAATATAACACTAATCAAGCAGATTTTCTTTGCTGGTTTGAAAACCACAATATTGTTGCCTGTGTTGACCCAAGTACAGTCCTGCTGTTAGGCACTTTATTCGGTATATCATTTGTCTTTTTATTTTTTAGATCTCCAAGTATATTCGGTTGACACATAAAGTTAACAAAATTATCTAAAAAGATTTTTTATATACGTAAAAATTTGAATTTATAATTATTTATTTAAACAATTAAAACTACTTCGCTCAAGCTAATTTTTTAAAACTTATATCGCTTCGTGTACATTAGAAATTAATGCAAGAAAAATTCTTAACGTTTTTTAGATTCCTGTGATTTCAGGCCTTCTTCCGAGTCAAGAAAGCGAGAAGTGCGACGATCAAGAATGGGGAAAGGAAGAATTAAAAAGAATTCATTTTTAATAAAATAGATGTAAGATTATACATTTGGTGTTTAAGCAAGAATTGAGAAAATCAATTATGGATACAATCTTTTTAAAATATAGAGAGGATATAATAATAATAATAATAATTCATAGGAAGAGGGGTGATTATACAGTTTATATGGGAAGGCGTGACTAAAAGGTGAAACAAAATTGTGACTCCCAAAATAAAACATGCCTCCGAAGTATGCTGTGAGGAGAAAGGGAAAGACGACCAAATTCACACAAATGAAGTAGGTATTACGACATATGCACGCCAAAAACAGCCCACTCTTTTGTAAACGTCCCTAGGACCCATTGAAGTTTGATTCGCTATGACCATGAAAATTTGGATACCCTTCGTGCCTGGACAATATCCTCATTCAATTCAATTAACCAAACCTTTTGGCTCATCTTGCCCAACAGGGCAATTAATTATTCAACATTCAAAGCATTTGCAGATGACCTTAACCGTCAAGGAACAGCATGCCCAAATAGCAAAATTCCAAAAGGGGATCACCATGTACTTGACTATTTGGCTTAAGTGCAACAGGTAGGGATATCACAAAAAAAAAATTCACACACCAACTAGTGGGTATATTCGATGCTACAACCGCAATTGGAATGAGACAAGCAGCACTAACCTTGTTACTAAAAGCAGTGGCAGTATTCAAACAAACAAATATTTTCCATCTTGATCCAAAATACAAAATATCATAATTAATAGATATATTAACGGGTGCAGTTACTTCAAAATGGTACAGCAAGGCTACTGTTTCCAATCTGGCTTTTCCTCCGCAATCAATATCGCCACTATACTGGCGTGGTGTAATCATAAGCCAAGAGGGTGTCAAAAGAACACTGCTCCTCTCTCATTTCTCAAATCTTTCTATTTTGCAAAAGCAATGGACGCTGCAACTACAGTTCTTCCTGCTTTTCTAGCAATGCCCTATGCCACCACTGCTGCTGTGGGTGGCCTGGCCTTTTCAGTATTCTTCGTCAACAAATTCATCTCCAATCAAAAGAAAGGAAACGCCAAACTTCCTCCTGTGCCAGGTATTTTGTTTTTCTCATCCAGCTACAAGAAATCAAACGGGGTTTCTCTCTTCTGTAAATAATTAACATGGTTGATGTATAATTTGGATGCAGTGGTGCCAGGGTGGCCAGTGATAGGGAATTTGCTGCAACTGAAGGAGAAGAAACCACACAAGACGTTCTTAAGGTGGGCTGAAATTCATGGGCCAATCTATTCAATTAAAACTGGTGCTTCTAGTGTGATTGTCCTCAATTCAACTGAAGTCGCAAAAGAGGTGTAGATTTTACCTTTCAGTTTCTTATTTCTCCTTACTTATTATGTTCATCACACCTACTTCTGTGTCGAGTACCAAACTTTACTTTACTCTCAGTCAAAACCAATCCATTTCACACATAGAGATATTTTCTGTCGTTTGTTGAAAGTCCAAACACAAAAACAATTTGAGGCAGTTTCACCCGGTCCCCATCAGTCAACCTCAAGCTTTCTTTACTTACACAGAGACGGGTAAATGGGTTTAGGTGGACCAAAACTGACTTATTGTGTTTATTATTTGGGGCTAGCATTCACAGTGTTCCAATATTCAAAATCTAATCATCACTAATGATTCATAATGGATCAAGATATTTCATAATTCTGAGGGAAAACCCATAAACTTTAGGCCTGAATCCCAACTTGCTCTGATTCTCCACACTGAAGTGCGTGTTTGGTTTAATTTTTCCAATTCAATTGCCAACATTACAGTTCAAACATGTGCTTTGAAAATTTATAAGAATTTGATAAAAAAAAAATTAAACAAAATGATTACGAAAAATAGGAAACATGAGTTCTTGACTAATAACTTCATGATTATTTCAGGCCATGGTCATTAGATATTCGTCCATGTCAACAAGAAAACTATCAAGGGCCTTGACTGTTCTTACAGATAATAAATGTATGGTTGCAACAAGTGATTATGATGACTTTCACAAGATGGTGAAACGGTGCATACTTACAAATGTACTAGGAGCTGGTGCTCAGGTTGGTCACCTTGGCACTTAATTAGTATCTCCAAGTGTACTTGCCTGCCTTTTTTTATTTTTTGTGGAAGTAATTGGTGATAATCATTAGTGCCATTTGATTTTCAGAGACGACACCGGGGTCACAGGGATACCTTGGTAGAAAGTGTTTCGAGTCAATTGCTTGCTCATGTAAAGACCTATCCTCAACAAGCTGTGGATTTCAGGGAAATATTTGAGTCTGAACTTTTTGGATTGTCAATGAAAGAAGTGAGTTCTTTATTTTCTTGCGTCGGTAACTTTACTTGTACACATTTCTTTTCGTAAGAATACTTGTGACAAGTATTCCGATTGTGTATGACATAATCCAATTTAGTCTGTTAATTGAAAAAATGCAATGCGGTTTTCCAGGCTCTAGGAAAAGATGTGAAATCTCTATATGTTGATGAACTTCGGGCCACTTTATCAAGAGAGGAGATTTTCAATGTTCTAGTGCTTGATCCTATGGAGGGTGCAATTGATGTTGACTGGAGAGATTTCTTCCCATATTTGAGATGGGTTCCTAATAAGGATTTTGAAATGAAAATCGAGCGAATGTATTTTCGCAGGCAAGCGGTGATGAATGCTCTTGTGCAGGAGCAGAAGAAACGAATTGCTTCTGGAGAGGTAGCTTTTGATGGCCTTCAGGTGCAAATTTATATTAGAACATTTACAGTTTTGTAACTTGGTTTACGTTTGGAACAGGAAATAAATTGTTATCTAGACTTCTTATTATCTGAAGGCAAGAGTACACTTACGGAGAAGCAAATCAGTATGCTGGTTTGGGAGACGATTATTGAGACATCAGATACAACTATGGTCACTACAGAATGGGCCTTGTATGAACTAGCAAAAAATCCAAAATGCCAGGTTGTCTTGATCGCTAATTTGCACAACTGTCTATGGACACCTGTTTCTTCAACCTTGTAATGATTCTCTCTTGATATGACAGGACCGGCTCTATTGCGAAATCCAAAATGTCTGTGGCTCTGAGAAGCTTAAAGAGGAACACCTTTCCCGACTCCCATACTTAAATGCTGTATTCCATGAAACTATTAGAAAGTACAGTCCTGCTCCAGTTATACCTTTGAGATACGCACATGAAGATACCCACATAGGGGGCTACTATGTTCCTGCTGGAAGTGAGGTTGGCCAGTTTGTCCAAGAGATTTATTCCTTTTTATAAGCTCTGGTTTACAAAATTAACCAAACATACGCCATGCAGATCGCTATTAACATATATGGATGTAACATGGATAAGAGGCGTTGGGAAAACCCTGAAGAGTGGAAACCTGAGAGATTCCTCGATGGCAAATATGATCCCATGGACTTACACAAAACAATGGCTTTTGGAGCTGGAAAGCGGTCATGTGCGGGTGCTCTTCAGGCATCCTTGATAGCATCTACAACCATTGGCAGGGTAGCTCAAGAATTTGAATTTAGACTGAAAGATGGAGAGGAAGAAAATGTCGATATTGTTGGACTCACCACTCGCAAGCTTCAACCATTGCATGTCATGATAAAAACTAGAAATGTGTAGGGACCAGGGAGAATTGAAGTCCTCCGCTCATTTGTGCTTTATGTGAAGTGCTTCACTCTGTTCTTTATGTGTTGGTATCTATATTTCCAGACTCCTTTGTGCTTTATGTGTTGGTATGTATGTGGACTTCTTGAACCGTGTCTGTACTGTTTTACAATCCTTTGCGTATTTTATTATGCTATAAATGCTTGCATGAAGAGAAAGATTTCACTTTTCAATGTTTTTTTTTTATTTTCAAATTTAGTGTCTGGAACTGATTATTTAACATCATATAGAACCTTTGCTGGATAAATTTATAGTCGTTTTCATAATGATGCAGTAAAACACGTTTGCTTCTAAATTCTCTGCTGTCCGTTCCGTTCTTATCACTAACACAATTTGATTTCTTCTGAAAGAATAATATTTGTCAACTTGCTGCACGTTGTTAGTTCTAATTACCTTGTGATAGTGGATCAACTGATCATTTCTACGAAACTTGACACGATTCTGGTTCTTAAAGTGGGGAATAATTAGATGATGGTATTTTATGAAACACAGGCGTATTGGGGATACGAGGGAAAATTGGAAAGCAGAGCAATAAAATGTGAACAGATTTATCTCTTTGTGCTGTGGATCCTGTGTTAGGAAACATCTCGGCATTTTCGTGGATCCTACGTGAAAATGGGACGTGTCCCGCTCTCCCTTCTTTGTGTTGGGTTTTTATGACCTTCACGCTTCAATGATATTTCTGCAATTATACAACCCTGTCAAGGTTGGGCCATGACCTGACAGCTCTCCTCCACCCAACGTAACTGTCGGATTAAAGCTAAATTTTCAACCCAAAGAATTTCATTTATTACGGGCCTAGTGACCTGCTTGAAAAATCACGCCCTATTTATAATGCCAACGCATCCATTTAGGCGCCGATGCCATTGAACAGGAAATCAATCGCACGATGGGTTATTGGTCAAACAGTTAATTCAGAATTTTTCTAATCTTGTACACCACATTTGAATTTGTTGAGCGAGTTGATGATTTTTTTATAAAGCAAAAGGACCTTGGAGGTTTTGGCTTATGAAGTCAAATGAGAGAATAGTATAGAAATTTGACTTTAGTCCTTGCATCTACAAATTTCATCTTCTTACCGTCGATTTGTTTTAAAATTTCATTCTAAGCGTTTTATCGTGATGGACCAATTGTGCAATTAATCGTAAAAGAAACGCATATAGATTATAGATGTACAATCGTAGGCACTACCCATGTGTGATTACCTTCAATCTTTGTCATCCCCCGGGGCCTGGATGAAAAGATTTTGCTACCCATCATTTCACAATACAATAAACCCAGTTCCTATTCTTAAAACATTTTCAATTTGATCCATGTGACCAAAAGTATACTATTACCGTATTACGTACACTTTTTTGTTGAATTTTTTTAATATGATCGCAATAAAATAAAATAAATAAATAATGATAAATAAAATCACTTTCATCCACAAGAGGATGCTCTCTAGCATATATAAATGTTCATTAATCTCAATTGTCTGAAGAAATAAATTATGTAACCCCTACATCTTTAGTACTAGATCCACCACCAACGTAAATATTGACAGCAATAGTTACAACTATTTTTTTTCTTAACCAAATAGTGAGAATGACCTAAGGCATGCAAATCATGCTGGACAAGCACAGAATGTTAAAAAAAAAAAAAAATTAAACTAAATTAAGAGATCGATTTGATGGTTAAGAAAATTTATTTTACTTTTTAACTTTTTGATTCAAATATTGAAGTTGAAATTTAGAAAAAATTATTTAAATACACCAAACCGATGCATGAGTTGCCGTTTTTGAAATCGCTAATTCACTAACAATTTTATAATTATTTTACAAAACTCGTTAAATAATTCAATAATAATTTAAAAAAATTATAAATTAATTAGTGAATTTAGCAATAAAAAATGATATGTATAGATGATTTGATGTAGATGATAAAGTAGTATATTGTTTTGATAAATAAGATTAAAAAATCTTGTTTTAGCAAGTATGATTTAGGCTATGTTTGTTTCAAAGAAAATAAATTTCAAATACTTGTTTCTCTATTTTTCTCAAATTTTTATGTTTGTTTCACATCTAGGAAAAAAAATCAACAGAATTTGATTTCTAATCAACGAAAATTAATAGACTATTTTTGATAAAGTGACTTTCGAGCTTAAAAAAAAAAAAACATTTTCTCTCTCTTGCAAGCTATCCATCTTGCATTACTTACCTCTCTCGAGTGTATTTTAACATTTTTTTCTCTCGTCTCTTTTTTATTTAAAGTATATTAAATTAATTTTAAATTATTTCTTATCAATTGTTATCAATTATTTAATTATTTTTTATCTACTTCCACTAACATTTGACTTTTCGATTTATAAATACATTAAATATTCTTAGAAATCATTTTTACCCCATAAAATTATTTTTATAATAAATATTTTAATAATTTATCTCTATTTTTTTGTACCATTATCCCAAACACTACCTAAATTATTATTAAATGATAGAAAATGACTATTACAAAACCGCAATCATTTGTGAAAAAATGAAACTAATTAATTCATTAATAAAAATATTATTTTTTCAATACTATTCATTTACAACTAAATCAATAATTTATAACTAATTTTAATCAACTCGTAAAATTTTGTTGGTAATTGTAATCAATAATTAGTTATAAATTATTTCAATATTAGTCTTTTGAAACCAAATGAATAATTATCTACAAAAGATAACTAATAATTTATAAAAATATTTTTTAGACTAAATTGCTAGTTCAATCTCAAAATAATAATAATAATAATAATTGAGTTACCAAAATAACAATGCTTTTTTTTACTTGATGTGAATATTTACTTGATTTTGTCTCAAATAGTTTTGATGAATTGGTTTGATGGTTAAAAATATATATTTTTTAAAATTTAAATCTTAGAGTCGGTATTTATAAAAATTTATTATTTCTTGTAAATGCATCTTATTGATTTTAAAAATATATTTTTAAAATCTTTCAAAAAAATATTTAGTTTCAATTGTAAATTGATTTTAAAATATTTTCTACATCCCAATGAAAAAAAATGATTCAAATGATATTTCAACTCCATGAATATATGTATCGATATATTCTTGATTATAACCGATGCTTTCTGTTTTGGTACACCAACATATTAGTAACTCATATGCTATATTTTGATAGTTTTTTGTATATTAATTATTATGGACATGAAATATTTTAATAATTTTTATATTATGAGATTATAAGTATGCTTTATTAAAGTTTTTTTAAAACTCGTGAAGTAACAATGACGATCTGTTTTTGTATTTTAGTTTTTTGTATCAAATAAACACCGAAATATATTTTTCAGTAATTTTTTTATGTAATTACTAAAAGTCAGAAAATATTTTTTTATCAGAAAACATTTTTTTGAAAAATACTATTTTTAGAATTACTTTTATTATTAAAAATTGTTTTTTTGTCAAATAAACGCAACCTTAAAAACACTCCAAAGATTAGGATTAATCCATAGATGGCCGAATATCAATTTGTATGTAATGCACGCTCCGAGGTGAATTGAGCTGCCTTCTGCGGGCATCAAAGCGTACTGTGCTGTTTTTCTAAACACATTCCCCTAGTCGCTCTGTGATTGTTCTTGGGTATTGTGACAGTCGTATAACCAAAATATGTGTTTTTGTTTATTCTCTCTCTCTATTACCAAAATACCAGTGCTGGCTATAACCTCTAGGGTTTTGGTGGAGCCACACTCGAGTCCAAAACGACAACCTGGTCAATAAGTCAAACCGCCCACCAGCTTGTAATGGCGGTGCAGTGCACCCCTTAGATAGATGACCAGAGAAAAATTCATGTCAGATGGCAGGCCAGTGTTGAAAATTCCATGAACGTAAGCCCATGTGGGATTGTGTAGAAAAAATACACAAGAGGATAAATTTGACTAGATAGAACTTGATGCAGCCCCAATTAACTACAATTCCCCCTCCACCTGATGGGAAAGGAGGTACCAATATAACATGTGGCTTGTAAATGAATGCTTTTTTTTATTTTAGTATTTTTTAAAATATATTAGATTTAAAAATTCAGATCAATCTCTTCTTATTATGTTGAATGAAAAGAAAAAAAAACCCACTTAAGAAGTTATTTTATATAAAAATTTGAATTCGAAATTTGTTTAAAGGATTCAATCCAAAACTCTTGGTTGTATATGAATGCTCTTTCATTGTACAGCAAAGCACATGTACATGTGGAAATGGAGAACGATAAAGATGGTATATATTCAACGAAATAGGTCCACCAGCTGATTTGGAAGTACTAAAAAATCTAACAGGTTTGAATATTGGCGTGCATGTTTCTTCCATCACAATCTTCACTCCCAAAGAGACGCTATCCATTCTGGGGACGCTGCTAATATTGACAAACAAGACAGCGACCCAGTTGGACTTAGAATTTACCATGTCATAACCAGCATTGATCAAGGCAGAATGCCTCCAAATATTAGTTTGCATGTCTCTTATTCAGTCGTCAGGTCCAAATAAATGTTTAATCGGAAAAATATGGTATGTTCTTTGCAGCTTATGACTTCATCTAGATGGCTCTTCCAGAGTTCGACTAGCCTAAGCTATAGACCAATGAGATTTCATATTTCTAATTTAAGCGTTTTTTTCTTTTTTGTATGAAAAACTGACAAATTAACTTAGGCATAGAGTAATACTTTCAAGACTGTATCTTAACAGTTAACACTAACAAAACAAAATTAAATATCTAGTTTTGCATTGAAAACCACCATTTACAATCCAATTAGCTGCGCACCATATTTCTTCTTTTTCGAGCCATGCTTGTGCTCATTTATTAACAAAATCATATGTCATGTCATTACCGAACTTTTTAAACATGTTTTTTTTTTTAATCAGAGATATCGTCAAAAAATAATTGATTTAAATATTTTGATTAAATAATCGTTTTAAGAAAAAAACAGAGATAATACGTACCATCCGATTGTACGTAAAGAAACAGCATTACTCCAAGATCCCAACCAAGTATTAAAATCATTGACTGTATGAACATCTAATGATAGCTACTACAAAAAGAGAAATCTTTATGTCGACCAAAACCATTTTCTATGGTTGTAATTCTTCTGACAAAACAATCGCAAATTTTAGATTAAGAAAATAGGTGAACAAAGAACAGCCACGTAAGATGATCATCGCTTAGGAGGACCCGTTAATTATTTGTGCTTGGGAGACCATCAAAACAACTTTGAAAAGGGCAAACGGTGGCTAACTTTAAGTTTATATTGTAGAGGTAATTTCGATAGGGAGAAGGAAGCGTTTGGCTTAAAGGTTTTCTGTAGCTGTAAAGCTGACTGTAACTGTACCTATTGCTATTTTTAGAGGAAAAAAAATGTTGTTTAACATGGTGGATTGAAAATGAATTTGCATTAGTACTAATTAAAAATTTATATACTAAATATTATATATGTATTTAATATGATATAATTTTTTATGTTTTAAAAAATATATATAGTTTACACATGCAAAAATTGAGAGGAGGAGAAGCTCCTCTCAATTTATAGAGTCCACGCTCAGCTTAACTGCTGGCTTACAGACCGGAGGCTCAAGCGGCTCCGGTGCTGGGTCATTCACAGAAATTGAAATGAGTCACTTCAACATGTCAAGTACGGAGCCAGTGTCAGGCCTTCTACTGTTGTTTGTTAGGTCTGCTCAGAACTGGGATAGAACTTGACAGGCCTACGCTGCTCCTCATTTCTGTAAAAAATGGGGCCCGGGTTCGTACTATAAAAACAGAACAAGCAAGGAATTATATTGTTGGAATACGTACATCCATCAGAACTAGCTATATCTACAAGAGAACAAATTAAATAAGCTGTGATTGAACTATAAAAATAATTGCACCTCGTCGTCCGTGAAATTGAAACATGCATATACAAAATAATACAAAATACGATAGAAATTTGTGTAGAGACTGTGGAGTACGTAAAAGATGAAGGAGAGAAGGGGAAGCAAAATCAAAGGAGCAGAGATCACGGTAACCGAGAAATCAGGCAAACAGGGAAGTGTCAGTGATCAGTAGCACCGAGATAGAATCTTGATTTTGTACAGTGAATAAGAAGGCAGGGAGCAGGCAAAACCCAGTCTTTGCTTCCCACGCTACCCGACACCAATGATGGTGTCGGTCTTCCTATTATTCTAAATCTCTCTCTCTCTCTCTCACCTTGGATAATTAATCCAACTTAATCACCATTCCCAATAGACGGTCTTCGATTTGAAATTTCTAGATCTCCTAATCACGGAGGGCAAATTAACCCTAGAATTTTTTTAAAAGAAGCACACTTCTCGTATTATCTCACTTTTATTTGTATTTGAGAAAAAGAAAATACTTTAACCGCAAAAAAAATTGCCTTTTTTCTTTTTTTTTGTCTCTATTTATCTCTTTGAAAAGTTTCCCTGGAGTAGTTTTAAAAAACCAGCCCAAATGTGGTAATTGGTATTTAGATGAGCAGTTCTCCGTCACCAAATAAGTTTGAAAGGCTATATCATTAAACAAAGTTGATTTATCTAAAGGATATGAGTGGACATTGTTTTGAGATCACTCACAGTTTTTTTTTTTTTTTTTTTTTTAATAAGGTTGCTGGATGGGTCTCATGATAAAAGAAAAAAACAAAGAAAAGAAAAGATCGTGGGATGGATCATGTGCGCTATACATGAAATCTAATCGAGAGAGCTTTATAATAGGGCATTATAAGTTGAATTTGATGTATCAAATAGGTAGGTAGGGTCTCTTTAGTGGGATTGGAGCTAATGCTTAGCCAATTGATTACTAACATCACTTGTAATAAGACACAAATAAATAACTGCAATTCCTTGGTAGAGTTTGAAATTTACCATTAAAAAATAAAATCAAAAGGCAGAGAAGCAATCTTGATTTCTTCATCATAATAATGTCCCCGCAATAACCCATTCCCTGCCAAGCAAATTCCAACACGTCAACAGAAACACCAAAACCATTCGAAAACGCTCGCACCAAATCCCACTATACCTTTTTGTTATTATTATTATTATTTTGCAAGAAATTAACGACCCACGCGAAACCACGCGTCAAGCCGTCAAAAACATCGTACACAGTGCAGAACCCACCGCCTGTAGAATTATAACTTCTTAGAACATCGCGCCTACTCAACAAACAAATTAACAGCCTTGAAAACCATTTTTCTCTTACAATAAACAGCAAACCCACTGAGAGACCAAGAATGCCATCAGATATCAGCCAGGGACATCCAAAACAAGCCCAAAACACCATGGGGACTACGCATCCATCACCAAATACGACTGAGCCACTGCCTTGTCCAAGGTGTAACTCCACCACCACCAAGTTTTGCTACTACAACAATTACAACCTCTCTCAACCTCGCCATTTCTGCAAGTCATGCCGCCGTTACTGGACACAAGGTGGGACCCTCCGTGATGTACCTGTTGGTGGTGGCACACGCAAGAACTCCAAGCGCTCTCGCTCATCCTCAAATAATTCTTCAACATCTACCTCATCTTCTAACTCTACTGCTTCGAATTCTGCAACTTTGCCTCCTTTCGCCACCACTCATGAACCCGAATCCGCACCCGTGGCTTTATCATCGACTACTGACTTTGGCTTAGCAGCTGTGAAGACTGAGATATCAGCGGGGTTAAATCTGAACGAGGGATTACCTTCTGAAAATGGAAATTTTATCTCGCTTATGAACTCTAATGATCAACATGGGTTTATTGGTCTTGGCGGGTATGGATACTCGTCAGGGTTTGGGTTCGGGACTTGTGAAATGGGTATTGGATATGGTGCAAGAGGGCTTTGGTCCTATCCTGCAATTGAGACTGTTGTTGGCAATGGTGGTGCTGCTTTTGGAGGTGATGCTTCTGGCTGCAGTACTTTGCAGCTGGAAAGTGATCATGCTGAAGGAGGGGGGCATTTTGCAACTGATGGTGATAATTATTTTGGTTGGCCTGGCCTTCTTATGTCTGCTCCAGCAGGGAAAGGTTTGAACTGATAATTTTTTTTTCCATTTTGATGTACTCGGGTTTAGTTTTGTTAATTGCCGGACTTATGTTTATTTTAAGTTGTGGTTTTTGGTTTACTGAGCAAGACCGTATAGACAGTGATAGGGTTTATGGTATAGCAGATGAACAAGTTCAAAGTGTACCTCTTGGGTAGTCGTTTCTTAACGAGGTTCTTTGTCGAACAAATGTTTTGAAGAAAATAGACAAAAAGAAGCGTTTCGTTCTCTCTCTCTCTTTCTTTCTTTTTATTGCATGAATCTTGTTTATTTTTCATCCTCCTTTTTTTTTTTTTTTTTTTTTGGTGCTTGTCATTGATAGTCGTGAACAGGTAAACAGAAGAATATGATCATAACGCATGAAAATTGAGTTTCGGTTTTCGAAGAATGTCTGGACCCTGGTTTTTTCTCATTTATCGAGAACTGGCCACTTGTTTATCCAAGAAACACCCAACTAAATCCTGGTTGGTGGGTCGCCACCACTATGAAGTATAATCCAGCCAAAATATACGATTCATTTTTCGTTTGGCGTTTCGTTTTACGGTTCCGTTCCTGATTTTAATTTAATCTGTGTACTTACGGGGGATAGCAATACAGCAACTAAACATGGCCCATTATTAATGGTTCATGGATGTTGCTTTTGTTAGTTTGTTTGTTGACAGACTTCCATTTCCATTTATAAGTGAAACCAGCCAGCTTGCAGAAAAACCGAAGGGCATAACTAGAACCCTAAATAGCAGTACCATTTTCACGAAGTCGGATGGTAATTAATTCGATTAATTAATGGAGCCTGTCTAATCAGATGGCTGATGCTCAAGTCAAAGGTTGGTATGTATCTTGCCGGTAGTCACCGAGAATAATGCTTATTTTAAATAGGGTTGAATGACAGGGCCAGGAAAGTTTCGATGCAGATAAAGAAGTAATATATAAATGGGCCCAATCAATTAATTTACCGTTGAATGAAATTTGAAAAAACAGATTGGGACCTTTTTAATGTTGGTAATTTTTAGTTAGGACCACAAATAATTCAATATCGTAGCATGCGTTATCATAGTGTTTGTCATCATGAATATTTAGTTTTACCTTTAAATTGAAGCCAATTGATTGGTATGTGCAAAAGTGGTGTAAGTGTCCATATTGGTTGCGTTGGGAGTACTTTCCCACTTCGATAGAAGTTCGTTGTTTTCTTGCTATTGGACGTGCTTTGGAGATATGGACAATGACTATGATCGTGTTTCGCTTATGGAGCACACAAAGCTGATGTCTCCCTTAGCCCCATTACAAGTATGAAACTGACCTAACAAAAGTTCCACGGAATGGATAGGAACAGTTCTCAGTTTGGAAGAGACGCATGTTGTTATCGAGATCGGTGGCTTGGCATGAGTGATGATTGCAATCCCTATAACATGATGCTTTAGTGGCATTTCGCTTTAATGCTTTTTGTTATTTTCCTAAACATTAAGTATTTTTTAAACCTACACAATTACTGTAATGAGCAAAATCAATTATGATTCGAATGATTTCTTTTGAAGACTTTTGACCCTCGTTACAGAAAAAGAAAAGAGACATTTTGACCCTTTGGACACAAGACCTAATGATTTCGAATGTTTGCTTGCATTCTAAAATACACAAACACTTGCATTTTCAAATGATAAAGGAGCAATCAGCATTGCACAGCTGCCATGGTATGCAAGAAAGGGGCGGCACGGTCTAGTGATCAACATAAGAATGGTTCTGCCCTCCCCACCCAAACACACACACACACAAAGAATTGTTCTGATTTCTAAAACATGGTAATCCATCTATAATATCCACCCTATAGGCTATTATTGGTCCATCCATGCAATGCTCTAGATCTTACTCCACTAATTAAATTTCAAAACAACCATTTCAGGAAAAGATGCAGTTACGGATCAAAAAGATAAGTGCAATTCAATTCCAAAGTTTAACAAACACCAACCACGTTCTCATCTTTCTCGACATTTCTTTTAAGACAAGACAGTATTTTAACCAAAGACAACCCTAATTAAAGCCAAGCAAAAATTTTCACATGGGCAATTGATCAGGATAAGCTTACCCATTAAACTGCTAAAAGTAACATATTCATACACAAAGTGTAGATTTCTCAGCAGGTACAAGAACAACATACAACGTAAACCTATATAATGTCTACAGAGTTTCAAAGCCCCTTCACAGAATTCTTAATTTGGCGGCTTGAAGAATTTTAATTTAAGTCCACTGTTCACCATACTCCAGACACCTCCAATGGAGAAGGCCAAGCTAAAAGCAATGCCCAACCAGCCAAGGATCCAGTTGAAGTACCAATTGAAACTGTATTTGGATGGTTTTTTTATGAGAACCCACATGAAGCAAGGGTAAGCAAATGTGACTGGAAGTGTTAGTCCTCCTAAGAGACCAGCAAGACTGGAGAGGAAAGGGAGTGCTACCCCAATGAAGAAAGAGATGAATCCATAGAACACCCGAAAGCCAGAGCGAACCCAAATAGAGCATGGACGGTTTGTACGGTTGGTATAGCTAGCTTCAAAACTGTCAAATACAGGCATTGAATATATCTGGAAGCTGCTTAGGCAATTAAACACCACGAGTAGAAAAGTCAATGCAAGAAGTCCTCGAGGAATGTCGTGACTGTGAAACCCATACAGAGCATTGAGAATTCCTCCTGAAGGCATCTAAACAAGAGAGCAGACATGATTCAAAAACACAGAATGGCAATAAAGCAAATGAATGCAACAGAACAGAGTTAGAATGGAAGCAAGCAACAGAAAATTGATGAACAAAACACAGGACAGACGAGTTATACACAGTCGTTAATGTACTAGATTCTCCAAGCCAATACAGAAAATGTGATTGGACACAATACTTGCAGCCAAACCTTTAGTCCGTGCAAGCAAAATGACGCAATCTAACGAGATTTTTAGCAAAACTTAGTTTTATTTTATTTTTTTATTTCCCTGAAAGTTAATTATCTTGCTCCCTTTACATTTTTAGATGGTCACACGTTAAAGCATAAGAGGAATTAAAAGATCCCACATTGGTGAACTTACAAGGTTCCCATAAGCCCAAAAGCCTCCGATGGCAACCGGGAACAGACACAAGGCAATGAAAAAATAGGCAACTTTGGCTCCTTTCCACATGGGCACATGAGCTGGGTGCTTAAATGTCGATGGCATTGTTGCCTAATGAAAGCCAAATAAACTCCTTCAGATAATAATAATAATAAATAAAACCTTGAAATGGTAATTATTTTTTCATATAATATCGTTGCTTCAAAACTTAGAGTGCATACCTGAATCTCCATTGCTAGATTGTGCCCTCTGAAAGCAAAGGCAACAATTCCAAGAGCATTCATGACTGAAAAAACAGAAGCACTAAAGGATGGCAAAGAAAGGGGTTCATAAGAGATTGTAGATGGCCTCTGTTGGCTGACAGAAAGAACCCACACCATGGTAGAGTAAGTGATAGCTGTTATGGCACCGATAAGTGAAAGTCCCGCAATTGAATTGAGGTTTGGGAGCTGGGACAGAACGATGCATAGAGAAGTGAATACCAGGTACCACTCAACTGTTGTTAGGGGATTTGATGAACAGAGTGGCCCACAAACTATTTGGAAAAATAATTTCATTGTCTCCCCTCCTATAAGAATCAAAGCTGTTGCTGTTCCAGCTGACAAATAAACTGTTGGGAAGAGCGCCAGCCAGAGGCCTAATCTTTCCCCTGCAACCGCAACAATACCGAGTCAATACATAACAGAAATTGCAAAAGACAAAGGCTTGTCCAGCGTCAATCACCATGCCTCTGAACTCCAATTGACCAAGTATACAGAGATACCAATAACAACAAACTTGGTTGAACATGTGCATAAATCAGAAAGGCACCAAGACCTTGTCATTTTTCTAGGCTTCTCTGTCATCCTATGAATGGATAAAGTTGAAATCAAAAGGACTTGTGGGCTTAGATTATAACATACGAATTCGTTTTACATGCAGAAGTTCTTTTATTCCAACCAATTGAGCAAGTTATAGTTTAACACTGTTACAATTTACATGTGATTGAATGTCTGAATCTATATCCGCGCATCATTATTTCTGAGCATACCATTTAACAGTTTATTGGGCATGTAATCTATCAGATTTTCAACTAAATGTTAACATGATCCTCACCAAATGCAGCTTGTGCAAGCTCCACATATCTGTTGTATCTCTTCCCTGGAACAGCTTCATGCAGCTGAACTAGAATCCATAGAGTGTAAAGTTGCCAGCAGTAGGCTATGGTTAAGGACAGTATTCCCCAACTCCTGGAGAAACAGAACAGAAAACAAAAGAAAATCAACAAAATCCAGTTGCTTCTGTAGTTCTGTGCCTCTTAGCAACTAATCCAATTTCCAGAAATACGGCAGCAGAAGCGCTGCAAAACTTTTTCTGTTATAATTTTGTCTCTTAATTTGAGCACTGAACTATCTTTAACCTCATTGTTGAAAAATGAAAAGGCGGTCACAAATGCAAGCTAGCTTTGATAGAAATTGCTAGATTAAATAACCGAACTCAAATCAATTTACACCAATTGCAAATAATAACAATCAGAGTGATAAATTCGATCATGTTAGCTCTTCTTCACCTTCTTGTCTTCTAGGAACTGCAAACATATTCAAATTAATCTCATTCCAATTTCTAAAGTACTTGACTGGTGCTTTCTACTCCATCTAAAATCAGTGAAAGTCAAGTGTCATACCGAAGCATCTACGTTCTTGTCCGAACCAAGATATTTCAGACTTAGAAGCAACAGTAAATTAAATGGCATTATTTCAACACTGTCTTTAATATTCTTGGTAATCAACCTCCCTTTTTGAGAAATTTCAGCATGAAAGTGATAGGTATCAATGTTGAAAGCTGCACAATTTAAAAGCATCAACAATGTTGATCATGAATGAGCAAAAAGCTACAGAAGCAATAATCAAATTTAACGGAGCCCTCTGTCTTCATTGGCCAAAGGTTAAAAAAGAATTATGAGTGGCCCCATAACAGATGTGGTATTTCCTGTCCAGAACAATTTAACATGCATAAAACCAAAACATGAAACGACTAGCTCCAAGGATGTTGTTATATCTTCGATTCAAAACCAAATCTACAAGAATATTTTAAAAACATAAAGAAGATCACTTTGTAGACCCACAGTCCATAAACTTTTAGCTAAATTCTTCTGACTACCATGTCAAGCCAGTGCTGAGTACAGTCACCTTTTTTCATTCGTTGAAATAAAAAGAGGAAAGTGCACACTTCACACTGTATTTAATAAATATAAAAAACTTGGAAGAAATTGAAATAAGGTAAAATCAACAAAATGTTTGGGATATAATTGAGTATTGTTACTAGAAACTTGAACGTATTAACAAAAGAACAAAGAAATGAAGTTCAAAGCTGACAAAATAATCAAGATTACCAATTTGGGGAAAAACATTTTATTTCCTATGAAAGTAGAGCATAGACTGAAAGCAAAAATTAACCCTTGAACATGTATAACTAGAAACCCATGTCTATTAAATGCATTATCAGTTTAGTAATTCAGTTTAATAAATGTATCAAGGAAGAAGTATAGCCAACAGTCTATATATACTCTTCAAACAAACAAAATGTAAAGCAAAAGATCAATAAGTGAAGTAACAACAAGTAGTAATTACCAGCCAAGGAAAGCGAAGGCAACAGGCAAAACAAGGGCTTGAAACCCAACACCAGCATTTAAGTTATGAAACGCGGCATAATGAGCATTCCCATTACGAGACTCGGTAATAGGAAGCCAAGCGTCTTGCGGATTTAGCTTAGTTAAATGACCCACTTCCTCTAAATAACCTTTCATGTTCATCAACACCCTCTTCATTGGCGTCCCTATTGGACTCAAAAACCGCGGCGAAATAAACGACGTCGGCGTCCATGCTGATGATGATTTTGCTTCCTTTGAAGCTGGCCTTGGCGACCTTTGACCTGAAGGAGTCAGTATCTCTGGTGTGGATGCACGTGGCGTTGCTGGAATGGATATTAACTCCGTCTCTGGTCTCTCCTCCATTTCTCGGATGCTCTCTCAGTGCACAGTACTGGACGCTCTTTGTGTTAAAAGAAAAGTCAAGTGCGTAGGAGAAGAAACTATGGAGCTTTTTTTGTTTTTTTGCTTTCTTTGTTACTTTTCGTTTGTTTATTTTTGTCAGTTCTGTCTGAATCGGAGTGACTGAAAACTGAAGAGACTGGAGGAATGTGAGTGCGTGTAAACAGAAAGCATGAAAGTTTGCAAATTTATGATCACAACCGTTGATTTTGCATGGAAGTGGAAACAAACGGAGCAGGATGATTGCAGAGCGTAAAAAGGTGGTGATACGTGCTTCTTGGGTAATGTGAACAAGGTTTCAGGCGTGAAGTTGACTGGTTTTGATTTTGATTGACGGTTTTTTTTTTGCTGAATTAAGTGACAAGGAGGGATGCAATGCTGATGAGAAATGCTATATTATATATAGCGAGGAGAGAGGAGTGGGGATTGTGTGAAGAATGGCGTAGAATAATATGGTGTGGGCTTGTGGTAGCATAGGGTTATTGTATGATGTAGTAGGTGAAGGAGTGCATCAATCATATCAATCACGGTGTTTGATGAACGATCATTTTTAGCGGGTCCTACGTCTTGCCCCGGATTTTCCGGTGTCAGGACTGCAGGCAGGACTTGAATAATGGGAGCGTGGCGCGTTGAGGGCTGGAGTGGCTAGTCTAAGTATCTGGCTTGGTCCCGTTGCTTAGCTAATCCTAAAAGTGTTATTTGGCGATTAGTAGGCCAAAAGATGCGAGACGATACAGTATGTACAATTTTGAAACAAAAAAATAAAATATCGAAAAACTCATGAGTTTAAATATTTTTTTAATAAAAATAATAGCGACGGGACAATGCAATTTATATTGATTCTACGGGTCTGAATCACTAAAAAAAACTCAAAAACAAATTTTGACTTTGATAATGGTAATTGATGAAAATCACAGCGATCTCATGTTATGTTATGAGCCTCCAAGTAATTTTTTTTAATTGATATGATTTGCTCGAATAGGTCCCTCAAATAAAAATTATGATCGTTTAAAAAATTAGTACGTATTTATCCTTTCAGACTGTGTTTTCAAGTTTTTACCTATCTATCTATTTGATCCATTAAATTATCAATCAGACCCCTTACCTCATTAATAATTTTATGTTAGATTAATTACATCAAAATTATCATGATTTTTTTTATTCAACAAAGACATGATACACTTTAACAAATTTATGCATCAATAAAAAACAAGTTTCTCTCGTAATGATTTTAAAGAAATGCTTTCATAGTGATATGGTGCATTTAAAAGAATAATTTTTTTTATGTTGCGTTCAAAGTATCAAAATATCATGGTTTTTTTTTTTTCGATAGTTTGTTAGATTCTTCAAGAAATAAACAATAAGTGTTTTTTCCATAGCTTGTTAGATTCTTGAAGAAATAAACAATAAGTGAATTTTATAAAATACTAAAAAAAATAATGCGATTTAGGTTTTTTAATAAATAAAACTATTTCGTTAAGAATGTATTATGAAGACATAATTTTGATAAATGGAAACTAATTCAAATTACTGTATATGTTAATACAAAAAAAGGCAAATTTAGATAGAAGTTTCAAGGGAAAATGTATGTTATATTTTCATAAGATTTATTAAGTTAAAGAAAAAAGTGGAAATTTGTAATTTTATAAACCACATATTTTTTTTAAACAAAAAAGTATTTTAATTCTAAAACAGAAAACTACTCCATTTATTAACTTAAAATAAAAAGAAAAAAATTATTTTTTTACCAATCTCAGACAAAAAATTTATATCATTAATGACATAACTAGTATAAATTATTTCATAAAAAATAAAAAATAAAATAAAAATAAAGTTTTTTTTATATTTTTTATGAATTTAATATAATTTTTTTTATTTATGTATTTTTTTAATGAGTTCATCGAATAACTATATTATATTTACGGAAGTTATTTATTGAATATTTTAAAATTTCTCGCATTAGAGACAAAGGAAGCAACGGGAGAGCATTAAAATGGTCCCACGTAATCGATTACTCTGAGGCGGAAAACTTTGAAAAAAAAGTAGAAATGCACACTGTCAAGTTTGACAGACACACCACGTGCCACTCCTCTCGCGTGGCTTGTGCAACCCATGCTATTATTAGCCTTGCTTCTTTCCTCTTTTTTTCTCTTCTAAGATTTGCCTTATTTGTCGTCAACCACGCCTGGTGGGTGCATTGGATACGAATATTTGAAGTCACAGGACTGGACCGTGAGACAGGACACAGAAGGCATTCAATTTTGGTAAAATCGTTCTGGAGACGTTGATTTCCTACTTGGCTTCGAGTATTAATTAGAGACCAGCGTGCAGAACAGCATATCATTTCGTTCTCTCTTTTTTCCTTTTTTTTTTTTTTTTTTTTTTTCTGTTTTCAGTTTACATGCTTGATTAACATAACACTGTACTATATTGTCCTTCAATTTTTTTTCTTTCTAATTATTGTCATTCAAATTTAATGCAACATGATTATTATTTTCAGATGAAAAGGGAAAAAATGGACCACAGCGCATTAGTGCGTGCCCGCCGAAAGTCGAATCGGCGCTGCAGTTCCGGTTATTCTTCCGAATCCATATCTTTCTTAAATTGTTTAAAGAAACTATTGGTCCTTCTGGTATTCATTTTTTACAAAGATATTCTTGTAGGTTCGATTTAGACAATTGAGTTTTTGTGGTTTAGTTCGTTAGGTAGTAAAGATTCCTCCATCTATACTCGATCTACTTTTCCATTAATTTTGAATTTTAAAAAGAAGAAACATGTTAGCTTTTTATTGATTCTAAGTAAAAAATTAAAATCCAAAAAAAAAAAATTTGTTGGAGATTTTGCCAATTTTTTGTTTATTTATAAATAGAATTTTTTTATTTACGTTGTAAATTTATTTTTAATTTATTTTAAAAGGACGAAACTAAAAAATAAAAAAATATATATATTCTTTGTTAATTTTTTTTATTAATTTATGTTGGATTTGTTGTTAGTTTTATATATTTTTCTATCTAGCTTTTTTATTTATTTACCATAGAAAAGATGTTTTTTAATTTCTTATTTTATTTAAAAAATAATGAAATTTAGGTTCACAAAGACATATGTAGCTTAAAGGATTAAATAATAAGAATTCAATTGTTCAGATGAAAATCAAACAGATTTTTGATCAAAAATTAATACTAAAATGATCTCTAGTGCCATTGAATCTTTGTTAAATTGTGGTTTTTTAAAAAAAATAAAAAATAAACCATTGCGTATCACAGATTATCTTGCTGGTGAGATGTATAATGTACATTTTGTGGATGTGTTTTATGAATTATCTTGCTATTAGAGCTTTTGTAAGTTCACGAATTGATACTTGTTAGGTTTTCTATGAGACAATGACACGAAGAGTAGAGAGACGTGGTCATTAACTTGTAAGAAATTTCATAACACCGAACGAGTAATTGATGATATATACGGTAGTTATTTAATAGATTAGCTTTGCGAGAGAGAGATAAACATATAAAAAAAAATCACATCCGAACTCATCGAAAGTGATAAAAAGATTTTCACATTCACATAATTTTTTTAAAATTTTTTATCTCCTTTTTTATGTGTCTATATCTCTCTTCAAAGTGGATTAACGAAGTAACTATCGTATACGTCACTAACTACTCATTGAGTATTGTAAAATTTCTCATTGGCTTGTTAATTCAAAAGAGTTCCCAAACATTGTGAATACCAAACCCAAAGTGCTAAGGTTTAAAAATAGTGATTCCAATTCATTCACCATGGAATGACATTATTATGGGAAAATTACAATTTGAGTGTTTAACTTTTTATTTATTTATTTTTGTTTGAGTGTTTACCCAATAAAATTTTCTATTTGAGTATTTAAGTTATGATTTTTTTTTTTAGTGCCTACGATCATTTGAAATGAAAAAATATCGATGTATTTGAGATAAATTGTCCGCATGACACTTTTTAACACACATGTGCCAAAAAGTATTTTCTTCTTCTATTATTTAGAAAACAAATACAATTAAAGTTTCTAACTTTTGATTATTTTTCTATTTGAGTGCCTAATATATGAATTTTGTTTTCTATTTGTGTCCTCTTAGCCACCCAAAACTAAAAAATATTGATGTGGGTGGAATCCATTGACATGTCATAATCTTTGATTAACATGTAAAAAAAATCCCACATAGATTTATTAGAAAAATAAAAATATAATTTTTTTATAAAATAAAATAGTTGGTAAGAATTTAAAACAAAAAATCAATAACTATTAGACAAATGAACTCAAATTGTTTAGATAATTTAAGGTTAAAACTCATGATTAGGTAACAAAAAAAATATTTAGATGACAGTACATTGGAATTGTTTTAAAAAATTGATCAGCAAACTTGTTGACTTCATCATGCTAATAGTAATTAATTGTGATATTTTCTTCTAATTATTGCCAACATTTTAAAAAAAATTATATATTTTTTATTTTTTCTCCATAAACCTAATCATGACTCATTTTTTAATATGTGTCAGTTAAAAATTGTTGTAACTTGTATGTCTGTAGATTCTGACCATGTGAATCGTTTTCGATCTTTGGTGGGCCAAGAAACTCATAGAAAAAAAGAAATCAAACCTTGAGCACTCAAAGAGAAAACAAATCAAAAGTTAAGTGCTCAAATTGTATTTTTTTCTAAGAAATCATTTTTTTTATATGAATAACCAAATTCAGACTCACTTTTTATTATATGTCAGTTAAAAAAGTAATACAAGAGTTTATTTCGAACACATCAATATTTTTCAGTTTCAAATGACTTTAAACATTCAAATAAAAACAATTTCAAAGTTAAAAACTCAAATAAAAGAATTTATTGATTGGATATTCAAATAGTAAAAAAAAATCAAAAATTGAGTACTCATATAATTTTCTATTTTAATTATTGCCAAAATTTTTTTTGAAAAAAAATTATATATTTTTATTTTTTCTCCATAAGCCTGATTATGACCCATTTTTTAATACATGTCAATTAAAAATTGTTGTAACTTGTATGTCTGTAGATTCTGACCACGTGAATAGTTTCCAATCCTAGGTGGGCGAAGAAACTCATATAAAAAAAAAAAAATCAAACCTTGACCACTAAAAAAGAAAACAAATCAAAAGTTAATATGCTCAAATTGCAATTTTTTCTAAGAAATCAAATTTCTTTATATGAATAATTAAATTGAGACTCACTTTTTATTATATGTAAGTTAAAAAAAATCATACGAGAGTTTATTTCGAATACATCAATATTTTTCAATTTTAAATAACTGTAAGCACTAAAATAAAAATAATTTAAAATTTAGAAACTCAAATAAAAGAATTTATTGATTGGATATTCAGATAGAAAAAAAAAAAAAAAAATTTTGAGTACTCAAATTGAGTTTCAATCTGTTATTATCCTTTACATGGAAATTGGAGGATTCAGTGGCGCCGCACGAGACTCTAAAACAACGTATGTGGCAACACGTTCCCGATGGTAAAAGTTAAGGAAAAAAAAAATCCTAAATCATGGCTGCTTGCTTCAATATGTGTTTTTGGAAAATTAGTTGATAAGATCGATAGGTTGGATCAATAAACACAAGACACGTACACTTTGCATGATTTTATCTATAGATATTATGTTTATTGATTTAACTTATGGTGATGTGGTAAATTAAATCTAACTAATAATTTTTTATTATTTAAATAATAAAAAGACAGTGAAGCCTCTGCGATTAAAATATTGCACCCTAATAATTTTTCTATACACAGCTTAGCTCCCTCGCTGCCCATTTTCAAGCCTACTTTATTACGGGCTTCAAAGTTCAAACCCAACAATCATTATCCAAGAATGCACTATTTATCGGCTGTGAGACACAATTACTAACTTTCTACAGGCCGATACAGGCCCATATTACATAGGGCCAGCAAGCGTGGTCTTGTTAATTGTTAGGATGGCATTGATTCGTTTGGAGAGCTGAGAATGCGGAAGTTCCTGCAGGACGGGCTTTCTGTTACGGTATTTCTTTGATGGGCTCTTTCGAATGTTACTAATGTTCTATTCCTAAAATTTGAAACGATTACTAAAATTCTTCTGTACTCAAGAGTTCAACATTGATCATTTAATCAATTTCTCAAGCTTTTCAACTTCAGTTTTGTGTTTTGCATTTTTGTATGTTGAATGTGGTATGGTCATATGCCCAAAAAAAAAAAAAAAAAAAATAGTTCGATATACGATGGTTCAACAATCTGGTTTTTAAACCTGTTATTAAATATTCAAACTGTTATGAAAATAATATTTCAGCTAGAAAAAGTCCATTTGTGACTGGGAGGTTAGAAGAAAAGGAACCTTCTCTCGTACCATATCGATATTATTGTTTTTTTTATAACAATGCCTTTTACAGTTTTGCGGAATTATCCATTAGTTTTATAAACTTGTCAACAATTTTCCTAACGTTTTTCTTTCTTTGTTTTTTTCTTTTCTTTTGACCAAATATCAATTTATTTTTTTTAACAGATTTAAAAACAATGAGCCAAATTAGATTTTGGTAATTTCCTATCCTGTTAGACAATCGTTTCATTAGAGAACAGAGAGAAGGTTTTGATTACTTAAAATTGCATTGTTTTAAAAAACACTGGGATTTCCAGTAAACAAAAGAGGGTAAATTTTCTCACACAAGGCATTATACATACATATATATAATTTTACATTTTTTATTGATAATATCTTAATATATAATATGGCAGATCTAGGGTTTGATTTTATAATTAGCTTTTTTAAAAATTTATTCTCAAACTATTTGAGATGAAAAAATATCACTTAGCTATATATTTTTTTAAAAAATAATCTTTCAATGTTCCTTAGCATTGAAGAATGTTCCGACGACACCTCACCGCTTAGGGGAAAAAAAAAAAAAAAATTCTAAACATGCAGGATGAGTCTACCTATCCTGCGTCTCTGATATATCTGTTGCATTTTTTATTTAAGAGTTCGAATTTTTTATACGCACGACCAAAGCAAATTTACGCTGATGTATGCACTTACGTCACTCATTGGATCATTTAGCAGCCGGTCACCATTGTTTATGTGTTGACTTGTTTGTCATCCAAGAATCCCTCTTGTCCAGGATCGATGAACATCTCCTTCCCACGAGATCAGCTGCCCCTTGCGGGAGAGATGCGGCTTTTGAACCACGAGAATTTTTCACAATTTAACTTGGGTCGTAACACGAGTTTCCAACGTTTCCAATAATAATTATTATATTTTTTAATATACTTAACTTGCTTTTTTATTAATTTTTTCAACTATTAATATTTTTTTAATTGAAATACTTCTGATTTTAAAAAAAAATTAAATTTACATGTTATCCTTTATATGTTTTCAAAATTTTTTGTAAAAAATTTATTTATGATAAAAAATTGATCGAAATAACGAATGAAACTCAAACAATATTTATAAATATAATAAATATATTTAAAAACATAATGAAAAATTAGGTATTCAAATTATTATATAAAAATATATTCATTTATCTTTTATAAATTTTTCCCTAACTTAAGCATTAATAATTTGGGAAAAGAATTCTTTTTGGTCTAAAATTTAACGGCAATGTCTGCGCTGTAAGAAAAAAATCGTAGGGTTGCTTTTGTCTTCTGACCATAGCAATTTTGATTTTAAGTTGGGAAACAAAATAAGGAAAGTTATAAGCGACCACAAAAAAGGAAAGTCATAGGAAGTTAGAAGGAAACACAAAGGCTCATAAAAGTCAACCAAAGTTGTGGAATGGCAAGCAGAGAATGCCCTCGATCTTGTAGCAAATTCCCTAACCAACCACGCTTCCCTTTCCACGGTTTTTCCCCTCAACATTGTCACATGACGGGTTTACCCTTCATTCACTGAGCAGGAAAGGAGAAAGGGAAAATATGGAAGTAAAAAAGAAATCGTTTGGGATCTTCCCTGAGTTTTTTATTTTTTTTTTAAGAACTAGAAATCAGTCCCCAGCTCACTAGGATGGTAAAATTTTATAATACTTAAAAAATAATTAATGATATAAATTATAATTATTTCATATATCAATTTGGAAAAAAAGATAAACACGTAAAAATATTGAAAAGAGAAAGAATACGAATTCCAAAAATATTGATTTGGTTGCTACAATTATATCTAAAAAAGCAAATAGTTGAAAAATAAATGGAAACAAAATACCAATTAAATCAATTAGCCAATTGTGTTTATAATTCCATACAAATGATGGATATAAGGCTTTTGTTTCTTCTTTTTTGGAATGCTCACTGTGCATGATTTTTTTAAAAAATGGTTATAAAAAATTAGATCTTTATTTTTCATACTTACTTAAAAAAAACTCCCCATCTTTTTTAACTATAGTATGATTTTTTTTAATATATATTTTGAACATTTTATATTATTAAATTGAATTGTAATATTAAAATAATAAAAATTTATTTCTCGTTGGATTATATTCCTTTAATGTCCAATATTATATTCAAAAATTTGAATAAAAATCATACATAATTAAACAACGTGTATCACTCGAAAAAAAAAAGAAAGAATCATAAATGATTTTATAATTTTTCAAAAATAGTTAATAAAAATTCCTGAAAAAAACAAATTAAAAGAAATAAATATCAAAGGACTATCTCATTCAAAAAGTTTTTTGACTTTGAAACTTACACAAATACACATTACGTTATGTTTAATTAATTAGAAAAAAATAAAGATGATAGGATTCAAACTCGCGATCATTTGATCATCAAATTTATGAAAATATATCAAACAACTATTTAATCTAAAAACTCAACTTTTTTAAATAAGGCTTTTGATATAATTTATATTATATTTTAGCAGTGGACTGTCAAGCTAAGGCCGCACGGTCAACGGGAGACCAGTGCGAGTTATATCTATAAAAAAATTATATATAAAATAAAGTTAAGCGTGCACGGGTCTTTCACCTAATATTTTTTTAGGTTGTCATGATAGGTTGCCGAAGAAGAAAATCCACCATTCATGGCCATAAAAAAAAAAAAAAAGAAAGAAAAAAATTGCACCAAAAACAGAAGTTTTAACTACTTGAAAATGGTGGAATTCATGTTTTTATACCTAGGGACTAAAGCAAATATAAATCAATTACATGGATTATATTTAGAAAAACAAAAATTCACTTTTTTTTTGTTTTTTTGTTGAAACGACGCATATTGCAAGTCAGGACACTACTACAATGGATCGATTTCTTTTAATTTCTTTAATTTCCTTTGTGAGACACTAGTTTTCAATGTTTTCCATTTCCTTTGTACCAGGGAAAAAAAAACAAAAAAAAAAGAGAGGAATATTTTATACATACTATAACAATTATTTGAGTCTATTTTTGAAAGAAAAAAAAAGGTTTTAAGATATTATCTTGCCAACTTACAGATTCCAATTACTTTTATCTGGCTGTATTTCCTTCCACCACTTAAGAAAAAATCGACAGCAGCAGAATGTTTTACAAAAATTCATATAAAAAATTACACGGCACAAAGGCCATACGAGGAGGGCAGGGTTGGTGCTGGATCAGGAGGCGAGTTGAGACAACACAACACAACATATTTTTATAAACAATAAAGTAACACAATAAACATGGAGCTGGATGTACTCGCTCCTACCCCATAAGCTATTTTTGTGGAGTTTCTAGTAAGTTGAATCAATGTCACTGGCAATGTATCACTTGTAGCCGGGGCATGTAGATTTCAATTGTGCTAAAAAAGCTATTCCACATCCCTGAAAAGTAAAAAAGGGACGATGAGCGACATTTTGGAAAGCTAATTGGATTAGATTTTTTTTTTTTAAAATCAAAATCTAACTACCCCGACTGAAGAGATACAGATTAGGATTTGACCAGGTAGACACAGGGAAAAAATCTAAACTACCCCTCAGGAAACGAACCACGGCAATTCCGTAAATAAACAACAAAAAAAGTCTACTTTCATTGCCCTTCCACAGCCTCCGCGTATTAAACGCCCCCCAAAACCTCTATTCATTTTCCTGTCGTCATTGCTTGCGTTCCCCTCGTCAAACCCCTCTCCCCCTCTCCTGAGCCGGAGCCTCTCTCTCCTCTCACAGAGCTCAGGACCTCTCTCCCCTCTTATAACCAAACCCTGATTCTTTGATTTCAATCTCAATCACCTCCAAGTTTGACCTCACAAACTAGCCCAGCCTTTCAATTCGTAATCCTCATCTCCAATTCACTGGTTTTTTCACCAAATATGTCATCTATTTCTTGCTAGGTTTACCTGGATTAACCCTCTTAGTATCGGAAGACACTATTTACCGAATCTTTATCTTGTTATTCGAAATTGCTATCATGGCGATCCGAGTTACCTTTTCTTTCTCCGGCTACGTTGCCCAGAACCTTGGTGTTCGTGTCAGTAACTGCCGGTCTATCCACGAATGTTTTGTCCGGTCACGGGTATTTGCTTCACCTACAACCACAACACACAATCCTGACCTTGAACCGCCCGGCGCTAGAACAAAACCAGATTTTCGACGCCGAAACCTGAAGAGGAATTATAGTAATTCGGCGGCGATGTATAGTACGATTGCGGGTGAGATTTTTGAAGAGAATTGTAAAGGGAGTACAATTGCGGTTGGATTAATTTCTCTAATGAAGTCAACGGCTGGGGTTTCTTGTTCTAACATGGGTGTTTGTGGAATTTCACCATTTAAAGCCGCCTCGATCCTTCCGTTTTTGCAAGGATCGAGGTGGCTTCCTTGTAATGAGGCGGTTCAGGAATCGAGGAGTGCCGAGGTGGATAAAGGAGGTACAGGGACAGCGACAGTGAGGTCCGCGGAGAATGTGAGTAAGAGTAAGAGCAGTACTAGTGTGAGTTTTCAGATTAATGGGAAGGAGTTTGAGAGGACAGGGAGTTGGTTTTCAAAGGTCTATAATGTTTGCTCGGAGGATGCGAAGGCTATGTTTACTGCTGCTACTGTTAGTTTGTTGTTCCGGTCCACCTTGGCAGAGCCTAGATCCATTCCTTCAACTTCCATGTATCCTACTTTGGACGTGGGCGACCGTATTTTGGCAGAGAAGGTAAGAAGGAACACACACTTTAGCATTATTCAATAAATCTTTTTGGTGTATTGATTGAAAATTGTTTCTGTTTTAAAGATCCCGCTGAGAGCGACGCGGAAGTTTTAAAGACTCCTTTTTTTACCTGTAGATAATTCTGATACATGCTTATCATTTAGTGTGGTGATTAATTTGCTGATATTTTGAGGTTTGTTTAAAAAATAGGAAATGATCTTGATCGGAGTATTATCTTATCGACAGTAGAAATGAATTTAAAATATTCAAATACATAGCGAGATTCTTTTGTTGGCATTGGAATCATTATGCTCTCTTTTCGATATGAAAATTAAGTTGCTGGAATTTAGATTTGTATCCTTTTCCTTTTCTAAATTTTGGATGGAAATGATATGGAGGCATTGATTGTTGATGCATTTATTTGTTTTCATTTGTGCTTTTGAAGTAGGATATGATATTTGTTCATTTTTGAAAATTCTGATGAATATTCCATACTGGATAAGTTTGATAAAAATTTCTTTCACGTTATTGATATATTTGTTTTCCCTTCTTTCTTGTTGTAGGTTTCATACTTTTTCAGAAAGCCAGAAGTCTCAGATATAGTGATCTTTAAAGCACCTCCAATCTTGCAGGTATAAATTAGATTTAGTTTTTGATGAATTTTTTTTTAAGATTTTGTTACTTCCTATTAAACCATAGATCACTTACCTTTGTTTTTTGTGTAATTTGCAGGAAATTGGTTATAGTTCGGGCGATGTATTCATAAAGCGAATCGTGGCTATGGCTGGAGACTATGTTGAAGTAAGCCTCTCTATATGAATGTATTACTGATCCGATTTGCAGTGGAGGTGTTTGTCTATTACATTCTTTCTTCCTCTTTCTCCCTGTGTGATTAGATGTTGTCAAGTTTTAGCCAAAAGTACAAGGTACCTTCTCTGCTGCTGACATCTTGTGTTATGTGTGGACTATTTATAGGTTCGAGAGGGCAAATTATATGTTAATGGTGTTGTTCAAGATGAAGAATTTATCCTGGAGCCACTTGCTTATGAGATGGAACCAGTGGTAATGGATTCTGTTTCTACTTTGTTTTGCAAATTTATATCATGTTCATCTATCTATATTTGTTTAAATGGGCCAACCGTTTTCCATATTAGCTAACAAAATTATTCTGGTTTTTTTTTTGTTTTGCAGCTTGTACCTGAAGGTTATGTCTTCGTGATGGGGGACAATCGGAATAACAGTTTTGACTCCCATAACTGGTAAGTTGAGAATCTTTCTGTTACTGATTTGGTTTGAGAACTTGTTGTAGTAGGTTGGAAAGAAAAAAAAAAAATCCTGCTTTTGGTGTCGACAATTTGATGGTGTTCTTCTCAAATATCACAAACATGCTTTTGGTAATGTCTATACCATCAGAAATAGCGCAAAATAATATAAATTTAAATTAACATAATTTCTATTGATGTTTATTCTGAAAATGTAAACTCTTAACGTTTGGTGGTTCAAATTCTTTTCAGGGGCCCGCTACCTGTTAAGAACATTGTTGGCAGGTCAGTATTCCGCTATTGGCCTCCCTCCAAAGTATCTGACACCATATATGATCAACACATGGCAAAGGATACTACAGCAATCTCTTGACACAGTGCCTTCTTCAAGGATCTCACATAACTAGTAATTTTGGCTCCCGATTGAGCAATTGTGAATACCTCACTGCTATTCTCATGGCCCTGCTTATCTTGAATGTATCAGATGGATCTATCCCATCCATATGTTTGTTTCTTTGTTTATGGCCGTACTGTGGCGGATGATGCATTCTTTCTTGTAAATCATATTTCCTAAACTCAAAACAAAAGACGGTGAAAGAAGTAACAGACAACTTGTTCGTTGCTTTGAATGTTTATTCATTGTTCGTGTCTTGGGGAAGTAGCAATGCATCTACCGACCTGCATGGATTTCTCCAACTGTTGCTGTGCTCATTTCAGTGCATGTATTGTCTTTTTCTGCCTGAGGTTGACGAATTATGGGAGCTCGTATTTGGTTTCCCATGGTGATGTGGTTCATGATGCAGTTCTTGAAGATGTGGTTGTTGGGGGAATGGGGACGACAGCAAGTTTTTGGTCATTCGCAGGCCTGGCAACCCAGCCTCGCATTGGAGAATCCACTGGAGTTGGTCATCCAGATTGCTGGTCAATAAACAGTGCTACATTATTCCAGATTGTTGCTCTAATCTTAATTAGCTGGAACTCTTGAATAGTTTTTGCCTTTGAAGAAGGCTGATGTAGACTGAAAAAAATTTAATGCGGTATTACTTCATCATTTGCTTCGGTTTGTTTCAAGCATCTTTAATTGCATTCTGGCTTTGTGTACTGGGGTATATTGAAAATCATACCCTGAATAGATGATGTGAATTTGTCACTTTGCTTACACCTGTTTAGGCCTGTTAGCGTGGGTAGTTTTTAGTAGTTTCCGATATGCAATTGATAAAGCCATGTAAATCTACACTGGACTTGAAGTTTTGTCTTCTACTGAATGCTTATCCAAGATGCAGGGAGATTCTGGTGCTGGAACCATGGCTATTTTTGGTTGTCGCTTTGCATCTTCGGAGTTCTGACTTAGCTGCAATTAGTTTCTACTTTCAAACTCGAATCACTCTAATTAGGTTTTTCTTATTAAATCATGAATTCCCTGCTTCGTGCATTGTAAAATTATTGGCGTTGATTCAAAACCTAATGCCAACTTTGACACTAAAATCTAGAGTAAACTATAAATTATTCTCTTGAGAAACGAATTAATTAATTTTTTTCTTTAAAAAGTTAATTATTTAGTCATTTTAATTGGTATTGATTTGATTAATCTAATATTTTTATTAATTTTTTTCATATTTTTATTTATTTATTTTCTGTTTTTCAAAACAAAAAACTAAAATAAATTAAAAAATAACTAAAAACAAATAATTAGTTTTTAAAACCATAATTAATTTGTATTTAGAAACAAAGGAACTGATTTATAATTACTCTATATCTATATGATAAAATAGTGAAAAAGTCAAAGGTGGCCTTAATTGCAAACAAAAGAAATGACAAGGTAATGAAAATAAAAAATGAGTTTTTTTTTTTTAAAAAAAAAACTACTTTTTGATATAGTACCTATTTTACTGTAAAGGTTCAATTTCAAAAGGAAGTTGCTATAGTTATCTTTTTTTTTTAAAAAAAAAAACGTTTAGATAATGAATTACGTGAAGAAAACTAAAGAATTTAATCTCAAAATGAGATTGACGAGCTTAAAACTAAAATTTAATCTCAATACGTGAAATCTTACTGGAAAAAAAAAATGATGTCTTAACTATTTTTTAAAAACAAAATTGAGTTCATGATAATTATTGCATTTACTTGGGTATTTTTCTAGAAAGAAAAACTTACTATTAGTAATCACATAAAATTAAATCTTAAATAATTAAACCACGAAAGTTAATAAATATGCATAGATATATCACAAAGTATAAATCCATGCATAAACTGCATACGATTATCGAAAGCATTTTATAAAAATAAAAATACAGGTCGTTATGAATATATATGTATACGATTATCAAAAGCATTTTTTAAAACATGAATCGATGAACTCCTCACCACTTTTGTACAAGGCTCCAACAAAACCAAGTCGTATTTGAGGGTTTGGTTTGGTTTGGTTTGATCTCACAGAAAGCCGATACAATCATGTTGGATGAGTCTGTATAGATATCCAATAGACGGGATGAAAGGATAATCTCGCATGAAGATTAAAAAATAATAACCACAGAACTGCGATTGAATCGTGCGTGTAAATTTATAATCAAATCGCTGGCTGTGTCTAACTCAACCCAAAGCTCAAAAAGCTACTGACGTTTGGGCCCGCTTCCAATTAGCATTATCGCCACTGAAATTTGGGCCCGGGCTACAATCGTAATTCAATCATCATACCTTTCTGTCTACGAAAGAACGCCTCCGCCTGCTAGAACAGATAGAGGAGAGTGAGATCCAGCTAGTCCGGGTTTCACACGTGTCTAAGTCCGTTACCGTTGAAGAAAAAAGAGAGCAATGGGTCGCCTTCGTCGTCGTTTCCTCTCCTCTCTCCTCCTCTCATTCATCTTCCAAATTCTACAATTAGTTATATCATTTACTCCCAATTATCACATCGACGACAACGCTCAGTTCCTTACGGTATGTTTGTTTTTTTGTGCCCATAAATTTTTTATCTTGGAGTTTATTAATTTGACAGTGATTTTACAGGACGTTTTAAAGGAGATATCGGTGAAGCAAGACTGGGATTTGGAGGGAACTGAGATTTCGAAACTGGAAGTGAGTAAAGTTAGGATTGGTAGCTCTCAGAGACATGAGTTTAAGATCCGAGTTGGTAAAAGTTACATGCTACTTAAATTCCCTGACGAAGTAGATTCCTGGAAAAAGTTGAGCAAAGCAAAAACGAGTTTTGATTTTGGAGATTTGATTAAGGAATTCGGTTCTATGGCTGTACTTGACACTTTGAAACTCCGAGGCCCTTTCGATTTGTGGGTTAGTGGCCATGACAATCTCTCTTTGCTGTTGCCGGTAACAATCTCTGCTTACCTTTCTAAATGCCGCTGTTTCTTTATCTTAACTGGGGTTTGTTTTTTATGCTGCTTTTGGTTCTGTTATTGCTAGATGAATGCTTCACATGGTGGTCTGAAACGAATATTAGTGGGGGAAGGAATCGCTGTAGAAGTGAAAGGAGCTAAGGAGGTTTCTCTTTTTCACGATTTTGATCTTAGTTTGGTTATGAATGGAAGTGTTATTAGTAATAATAAGGGGGAAATGGCTTCTACTCTTTCGGGGATTCGATGTGTATGCCATTATTACCTATACGTATTATTGGGTCTGCATCAGTTGTTGCCTACAGGAATTGGGACCCCGATGCTGAAATTGAAACGAGTGTGTTATCAAAAAAGACCATCGAGTTGATATCTGATAAGTGTTATGATAGGAATGTGGACAAGAATCGGGCTACCACCATTCACTTTTTTAGTTCGAGTATTGCTAGGCTGGAGAGAGTTTTGAGTGGTTTTATTGGTGACAGAATGACTCAAAATGGGTTGTCGAGCTTTCTCAGAGCAACTGCTAAAGCATCAACAGTGATTCGTTTTCAGTTAGAGCTGGAGAAGAGTTTTGGGAGCAATGAGACTGTTCGGGGTGTGTTGGCAGAATGGAGAACGAGGCCTACTGTTGAACGGGTTTGGTTTGAGGTAATGACAAGAGTTGAGGGTGAGAAGCTAAAACCCGTAATGGTTAAGAAGGTTAGACCTTTTATTGCTGTTGATTCTGTGTCTTGGAGTAATTTAATGTCTAATATTTCCTTTACAAATTTCCCATCTGTTCTTGTACCTCCTGAGGCCCTAACACTGGATGTGAAATGGTAGGAGTGAACTCTTGTAAATAGTGTATTTTAAAAATATTTGCATAACAAAGCAACGAGCTGTTATTTGTGCTTTGCCCTTGCTGGACCGTTGCTGTAATTGATACAGGAGCTTCAATTGATGATGTAAATAATATTACGAAGTTTCACCTTTTGCACAAACTGCTTCATTTTGCAGTCCTGTGATAGTGTGATGGGTTTGAATTGGCGTGGTGTTGGCGTTATTTTGCTTTGGCACTGCCCCCTTGCTTGTACTGTTGTACGCCATGGAAAGTTGTCTTCCGTTGATTGCTCCATGCTCTCTGTTGGAGAGTTTTTATTGCTTTGCGTAGAAGAAGAGTAATCTTTAATTTTCTGATAAGAAATAATGATTGCGGGAATGCTACTCTTGTTCCTGTTCAGTTGTTGCGTTGATTTGACTGAATTTCAGCATTGTCTTCCACCGAGAATACAGCACCATGACCGTTCAATCTTCTTGGAACAAAGCTTTTAAGCTTTTAACAGATCTCCTGTTATTTGTATACATAGGGAGGAAAGCAATTTTGGCCGCAGCTGTAGAAGTTGATCAGCGGGCAAATTGAATGCCATTGATCTCCATGTTCATGAAAATAATTTAGGAACAATGAAGACAGAATTTCTTAAGGTTTTTGACTACTCTTAGATAACATGAAGGTGGATGGGCACTGATGGGTTCTGACTTCTGGCTTCTGAGATTGTTGACGACTTACATTTTTAGGATTTTGGGTAGAAAACTATCCCCACGGACGTTTAGGTTTGTCCAGTTGCTTATGAAATATGAGTGGACGCGAAAATTGTATTCCCATGCCGCTTTGGGCTATCCTTTTTTACTCTACTGAAAAAGTCTTGCTGTTCCTATTGGGCCACGAAATTTAAGTGCTCTGGGCCGGTAGGATCCTACTTTCTGTAGAGCAATCTACTGACGATCTAGTCTTCTTAACAGTCACCTATTCAGAGAACGGGGTGGTTCTGCCTCTTAAATGACAAGATTGAAGAACAGACGAAGAGATGGTTTGGTAGAAATTTAATTTCACAAGTACTTATCTAGAATTTTGACTTGAATGGTGATCTGAAGTTTCTGACCCTTTTTTTTTTAATTAAATTATTCATTGTGATCTAGAAATCTTGAGAGTGAGAAAATCGATGCATGCAGAGTCTGTGACTTTAGGTCAAGTGTCCCCCTCATTTTCTCTTGCTACCACCATATGCTCTCCCAATCTAACATCTCAATGGTTGATCGTAATTGGTATGTTCACTAAATTTCGTCCATGTTTCCTTTCTCCTTTTCTCATCCTTTTGAATTGTTGGTACTAACAAATATCCAAAGGGGCCACTACTAATTTGGACTGTTAGGGTAGCTTGGATATGGTCTGTGTATTTGACCTGTAACTGCGGGTCGATAGACCCTTGTTCTTCGTAAAGAAACAAAAAACCACATTTCAGTAAAATCGGAATCTTATGTTCTCCCAAATTATGAGTTAAATATTCTATATATTTTATCTCAAATATAGATGATGTCTTCAAGTATGCAATGATTACAGCAACAAAGCAAAAGACAACATTAGGAAGAAATCCTCACACATATGTGCTATGATTACTGTTTACTTTCTTTCTTTGTTTTTTCGAATTAAATGATACTTGGTATCTTTAAATTTCTGCCATTTGAACTTTTCCCTTGGCATCGCCTTTACAACCCTTTTCTGTTTGCTTCGCTTCCCCCTTGTTCTTATATCTATACCAAGATGCACACGCCAAGTAAACTCCAAAATTCACTATGCTGATCCCTGCTAATAGCCAGTAAAAGTAGTTCAACTTGTCTCTGTTCAAATTGTTACTAGCCAGCCATCCATCAGTAACTTTGTTTATCACCTCCACCACCACAGAGCTCAAGAAGTAGCCAAATGCCAGTGAACACCATGAGATAGCTGTGCTCAGTGATTTCATACCGGCCGAGCTCTCTGCATAGAAAAATTCTAGCAGCCCAACAAAAGTGAACATATCAGCTGCTCCAAAAATAGCATATTGGAATCCAAGCCATAAGAAACTCATCGGCAAGGGCTCAACAGAGTCAACCATGTTGTGTTTAATAGCCACCGATTTGCGCCATGTTTCCACAACTCCAGCAACTGCCATGGAGATTGCTGAGAGCACTAGCCCCACTCCAATGCGCTGGAGGTATCGAATTCCAGTTGGAATCCCTGTGATCTTTCGAGCAAGGGGTACGAAAATTCGTTCATATATGGGGATTAGAACAAACATGAATAGAAGGGGGATAACTGGTAGTGAGGGGCCAGGCACTTTAAAGCCAAAGACGTGTGTGTCCATGGTGGTGCTTTGTTGGACCGAAAAAGTTTGAAGCTGAGCTAAGCATGTGTTCATGAAAACTGTGCTAAGTATAATTGGAAGCATGCGGATTAGGATCTTTGTTTCTTCAACTTGTGTCATTGTGCATAGCCTCCAGGATCCAGGGGTGATTGATGTGGATGCATAGTTAGTAGTGTTTGCGATTGCTGCCCGGTCCAAGAACCTTGAATTTGGCAGTAACATATGTACTTCAATATTGGGTTATGGTTATGATTTGTTACAACAAAGATGTGAATTTCATATTTTATACCTGAATTGGTCAGTCCTTGGAAGAATTTCTTGTATCACCCCTGCTTCTTTGTCATGAATTTCATGTAATTCTTCTGCCCTCTCTGGAATTGGAAGGCCTCGGTTCCTGATTGCAGCCACAAACACCTACATTTGTGAAGAAATTAAAGGACAAATTCATATTATCTAACATACCAAGACTAATGATCATTGGGAAGATACTATCTCAAATCTCAATACAAGCTCTTCTACGAAGGTACTACCTGTGCAAAGCGTACGAGGGGCTTCCCTTGGGCACATTGTTCCGATACAAGGACTTGCCCATGCTCACAAAGATGATAGCAACCAAGACTGCTATAGCACACACCCCAAGCCCAAAATCCCAGCCTTGGTTAGTGCTTATCCATACAATAATAGTGACTCCTATTATAGCTCCACTGGTGAGGCTAAACAAGAACCAGTTGAAAAAACTAGACAATTGAGATGCCTCCTCGGGGTCATTCTCATCGAATTGGTCAGCTCCTAATGATGGCAAAGCTGCTTTGACGCCACTAGTACCAAATGCAATAAGGTACAGACCGGTGAAAAGTCTTGCAGATTGGCTCCGATCTGCAGCCTCACATTGGTCAGGTGATAAGCCTCTGCAAGGAATTGGTCTTAGTTTGTGGAAATGTGCTTGAACCGTTAGGAGGGAATATCCCTGGAAAGCACAACATTTTTATCATAAACACTATCATTTTTCCAATCTTTTTTTTTAAAAAAAAGATAAAAAAATAAATGCATCATCATCATTGTTCAAAGGGTGATAATTAACCATTCTTTCTCTCATTCCAACTCACATACTTAGATTTAGTTGAAGCTGACAAAATATATCCATGTTGATATAAAACACAAGTATTGGAACGTATTAAATATCATATTATTTAACATCATAAAAAAAACGGAAGAATTCATTCATCTGATCTTTGATGCTGTGGATGGCAAGTTGAACTAACATATGTTGATTTTTGACGGACATCTTATGAAGCCACGATCCTAAATCAATACATGTTTTTCAGCCAAAAAAAAAATGTCTAATATTGCATATGGTCATGTTTCTGTGCACTGTCGAGTTAATATAATTATTCATACCATTTTTTCTTTAGACGTTGCTTATCTGCATATTTGGTAGAAGTAGTTGATCATATTCTATCAAGACTGGAAATCGTGGCACATGCATGCATGCATGGCCTTTTTGCAATAAAATAGGCCAAATAGTACACAATAATTCATGATTCTTAATTAGAAGTTTGGCGGTTCATAATTTTCTAATGATAACATAATTAATTAGAAATGTATGGGCATATATAATGAGGAGATTAGTTGATAAACATACCAAGAACTCTACACATCCAAACAAGACACAAGTCTTGAATCTTGTCAAATAGGTGTCACAAATGAACCCTCCAAATAGCGCCATTAAGAATGAAGTACCCATGAAGTTGGTAAGTGTAGTGGCAGATTTCGTTAAGCTGAAGTTCATGTACCCATAGAAATAAGTCACCAGGCTCACAGCCACACAGATGAATGCCATGTTTTCTAGTCCCTCCGTAGCTGCACAAATTGACCAAAATTAATATTAATTAGCTCATGATGTGGGAAGCAAATCCACCTATTACCATCCCATATATATATATGGACTTACACGCACACCCAACTGTGCAAGTAGTAATTAACAGCATTCTTACCGTACACAAAAAGTGCAGCTCTGTTTCCTCCTAGCCTTCTTCCTCGCTTGGGTTCGATTTTAATATCTCTGGAGATGGCCTGTTGATGAAATCACTAAAACTTCATTAGTCGCCAAACAGTGTAAAATATGCAATGCTAGAATGCATGCAAGTACTGAAAGGAAGCAAACAACAAATGAACTAGACGGTTTGATCAGCCATTAGATAATCCATTGGCTCTGGGGTCACTGAAGAAATTAAGGTGGTATAGAACAGTAATTGAAATAATTCAGCAGACTTTACCATTTTGTTGTCTCTTTTAGGGGAAGGAAGTGTTGCTTCTGACAGATGGTATAATCTAAAACCAAACTCTTGGACATATATATATATAGAGAGAGAGAAGTTGAACGATATTGTCCTAAATGACAAGAAGAACGAAAAGGAATCAAAAGGCATCTGGTAGTTTGAATAACATTTTGGGTAGGTTTTGTTCCTTATGATGTCCCACCCCCCTCTCCCTATGCTTTGACTAATTTATTAGTTGACAACTTGTATTATAAATTGTTTAATGTCACTCCCAATTTTGTTGGTTTGTTTCTGTTGCTGAGGGAATTAAGTGTTTTGATATTCTACAAATCATCCTCTTGTAATTGATTAAAAACATAAAAATATGAACATTGTTTGCGACTACATTGATGAGTTAGTCAGGGCAAAGAAAAATTGGAATTATGGCTATATTTTAAGTGCTTGAACTTGCAAAGGCGTGCTTAAGTGAAGCTTTACAACATTTCAACTCTCTCTTATATTAAGCCCCTTAGGCCCAGTAACATGCATGTCCAATATTGATGTTGATGACTCTGCTGGCCCTCCTATTTCGCCTTGGAGAGCTGCCTAACATGTCTGTTTGTTACTTTGTTTCAACATAAAAAAGTCCTTGATTTGTACAGCGGTTTATGTCATGTAGTGGTGGTGTTCTAGATTCGATAGCTCAGCAGCAACAAAAGTTTCAGTTTCTTAATTATCTCCTTCGTGTTCACTTCATTTTTTTTTATTTGATTGATTACTTTAATCCATTTTTATGTTTGCATATCATGGCCCCATGAGTTTATTAAATATTCAAAAGTCAAGGATGTTATAGTATTGTATTGCCATTATTATCGTTGCATACATCAATAAATGGGATCCCTTAACGACAAACATTCATCGACAAAAAAAAAAAAAAACCCTACTCGATGTTGACCATCACAGCTAAGCAGATAGCAGTACCAGATCAGAATATCTGATTCGGTGATTTGCACACAATTGTAATGCGGTTCATGCATTACCACATTTATATGGTCTCTCAAAGTTTTTCTTCCAATGGCAGTAACCGTTGTAGTTCATTAAGGCTCAGAGCCTTTCTCCATTGCTTTTGGAGAGGTCCAAATGCACTATAATTGTTACATGATCGGATATTTTAACATCCGGTCCGGTCATAATTTTATAACTGTAGGATCAAACCGGATGTGTACTGGGGAGAGAAGGCGGCTGAAGATTCAAAAAGTTTTGGTTATTAAAAAGCAAAATAAAATAAAACAAAATGAAAATCATAAAAAAACTTGAAAAAAAGAAAAGAAAAGATTTGCATACGTTCTGGGAAAAAAACAAAAAGAAGAGAGGCTCATAAGTAGATGGCTTGTGGAATAACAATAATGAAAGCCAATTAAATGATCCTAAACTCCTAATTAATAAAACTAGTATTGACACGAGAGCATCTTCATATAATTATATTTTGGTCAGACTCAAACACTGTTTCTGAATTTTGAATGAGACATAGACCGAGGAATTTAATATGTTTGATATCGACCTGAGTGGGGCTTTATAAAAGAAACATCAGGTTTCCATGAAAATGTAGTTTTGACATTTTGTTCATGTCCTTTGTTCCAGACCTTAAACTGTAGTAGAAAATAATTGACGTACAAGGTTCGGAGCTCTATTTGGTCTCTTATGCAGCAGTGTCTTCTCTCCCTAGCCTTGTCATAAGTTTGTCTTCTTAAGGATAGATTAATTAGAGAGGAGTCCCTGATTTTGATTTGTGATGGGGCGCGACAGGTTTGCTTCAGTCCATCTTGAAAAGATATCATTTTTAAATTTCATTTTGTACTGAAATTAAGTTCAAGATCACCGCATGATCAGAAGTTAAATAAAATAACGGTTAAATCAGTTAGTAACGATTTCAATTAAGATTATTTCTTCGAGAGTTGGTGTAGACTGGAGATAATATTTTGAAATCAAAGATTTAACGGTGATGATGGTCTATTCTGATCAGAGTTGGTAAGATAGTACAAAAACCAATAATCTCTTGGCAGAATTCGTTCAATAAACTTATCCAGGAGTTGGTTAAAGGCAATTAAAATAATTCGAGTTGTGATCGAAAGAATAGATTGATTTCCGTTCTACAACTTGCTCACAGAGTCACAGTAGTGCAAAGTTAGCACCGGGCGAAAAAAACAACATGGTGCAAATTGCAGATTGAGTTATGGCAAACAGATTTCTTGACTCGAGTGTCGTTGAAAGAAGCAATAGAGTGGCCTAACTTCAAAAGCTACTGGAATTTACAACACTTGGACGATGATTATTATTATTAAGAACATCCAACTACTAGAATTTAATTGAATGTGCTAGCATATTTGCTATTTTATTTTTCTTCCTATTATTATTATCATTATAGAGTGTTCCAACTTTAAGTCCAATTTGTCCTCCACCATCACGAGGGCTCAAACCCTCGCTCAAAAGAATTCTAAATCCGAAAACTAAATTATTAAACATTTCATAAACAGTTAAAAGCCCATAAGCTGGCCCATCTGGGATTTTGGTGCTAAATAGATTTTAAACCTTATACTTTTTCATGAGCAACCATGTGGAGTTTGGAGTTTACTTGATATTTGACCAAAAAGAAAAATCAATGTGCTACTTAAAAACTTTAGAGAGTGAATTAACCACCAATTTCAAAGGTACACAAAGAAATTAAACTAAAAATTTAGACATAGCAATGCATCTTAATTTCATAATCATTAAGCAGAGTGCTGAAGAAAATTGTAGGACAATAATAATTCCTTAATCTTTAAATTCAGACATAGCAATGCATTTTAATTTCATTATCATTAATCGGAGTGCTAAACCCAACAGGCCTCGCCATAAAAAATAAAAGTTCAAAAATGTGGCACATTTGGACTTTAAAGACGCGAACACAAAAGATGGGCCTGAGAATCCATAATTCTACAAAGGCCATCTTTGCAATGGTAATGGGCCTCATTATAAAGGTTCGTTGCAGATCGTTTTACGTCTCTCGCCCACCTCAAATTCAAAACCCCCAGAATCCTTCCTTCTCTGTCAAAAACGGTACCAAGAAGCCTAGTAGCAAGGATGAGCCCTATTCGATTTAAATAATAATTAAAAAAAAAAAAACCGAACTGAATCTAATTAATAATTTCAGTTCGGTTTTTAATTAAAAAGTACATTGATTCGCTTTTTAACTTAAATTTTTCTAATAAAACCGAGCCGATTTTTTTTAGGTTTTTTTTTTTCAGTTCGGTTTTTATAATTTTTGGTTTGGTTTAAATTAAAAATCAAAAGTTTTTTTTTATATAATTTTCCAATTTTTTTATTTTTTTAAATTTAAAATAATCCGAATGAATAAAAAAATTCCTTAATATTATTAAAGACATATAATAGATTGATGGTACTTTTGATATATTTATAATATTTAAAAAAATGGAAAAAAATTAAAAAAATTAATTTAAACCAAAAACCAAAATTTGTGTTTTTAAATTGAAAAACTAAATATTAATTTGGTTCGGATTCAGTTTTTATAGGTTCAGTTAATAAAAAACCAGACCAAAATTGTTAAAAATCAAACTGAAAAACTAAATAATTACTCTACCTAGTAGTACCCCTACGCAAACATAAAATTTTCGTTGTTGGCAAAATGGCGACATTCTATTGCATTTCCAAAGGACGTCATAGTTTGTTAAACACAGCCATCGAACAATCTGTTTCCTGCTCTATCAACTTTCGTTCTGAAAAAAAGTATCGTATACTATTATTCTGAACCTAGATCCTCATATCTTTCCTTAAAAATAAAAGATGATTGATCATATTTTGAATCTAATCATTCATTTTAAATTTAACAACCTAAATTAGGAGATAAAAATAAAATAATAAGAAGTTAAGTTGTTATTATTATTTTTTATTATATACTAACTAGAAATTATATCTTACTTCATAGAAATAACAATACTTTGCATAGAGATAAAACACATAGAAGAGAAAAAGATGGGAGAGAGAATTTAAATATATATCAAATCATCAACATAGAGGTAAATCATAAAAAAATCTGCTTTTTTTTTCTTCACGTAGATTGATGACTTAGATAAACTTCTATCAAAATCGTTTTGACAAAAATACAAGTCTATCTTGCTGTTTCATGCTCTGCTCTTGTAGCTTATTTCAAGCCATAAAGAGCCTTGCAAAGTTAACAAACCATTTTTTTTCTTATATTACATACCCTTGAGTTTGCTCTACATAAACCTAATCTTACAATTCTCTATTAAGAAAAACTGACTTGACATCAAGTCGAAAAACTTGTAATTGTAATTGAGTTGTCAAAGCAAGAACAATTATGATAGTTTCCATCGTTGCAATAAGTGCAAACATTTTTGTAAAGTCTACTCCAAGTTGTTGTAAGTAGCCTTTTACAACCAATCTTGCCTTATGCTTTTGTATGCTACCATTTTCATTATGCTTAGTCTTGTAAACCCATTTTAAGCCTAATTGCCTTCTTTTCTTTTGGAAGATCAATTAGCTCCCAAGTTTGATTCTTTTCAATACTTTCCATTTCAACATTCATGGTCTTTCTCCATACTTCCTTTCTTGTGGCTTCTTCAAAACAACACTGCATGAATTATAAATATCACACAAGGATCTGTACCTTCTTAGTGGTGAGTTTGAATTTGAATCATCACTTAGAGGGTTGGCCATTGATGAGCTAGCTTCATTTTGAGAAGTTGTGATAACTTTATTTTGAGGAACAATGCTAGAATCATATGGCTGACTTATAGCTTTAAGAAATTTAAATGTTACAGGTACATGATCGACATCTTCTTTTCATTTCCATACTGATGTCTCATTAAAGATAACATCTCTTGAAAGTACTAGGCAATTCTTTTATGGATTGAAGAGTCGAACCGTTTTTATTCGATAATGATTGAGAACGTATGCTGTTGTATTGACAACTTCAACTTGAAATTTGTTTGGAAGGCCTTTTGCTTTCAGCATGCTATGTGCCACACCTCTTCTATTGTACGATTCTTTCTTTCTATAACTTTATTTTGTTGAGGGGTATGCCTCATTATAAGCTGCCTCTGGATTCTATTCTCCTTGCAATAATCAAGAAATGGATTGTATATAAATTCTCCTCCACGTTATGTTCTTAATATCTTCATCTGATAGCCACTTTGTTTTTCTGTAAAAGCTTTGAATTGCAAAAAAGTAGAAAAGACATCTGATTTTCATTGAAAAAAATAAACTCATATCATCCTAGTATAGTCATCAACAAAGAGCAGGAAATCTTGTTACTTAGAGATAAAGTTCTAGTTAGCCCATAAACATCTACCTTGACTAGCTCTAGAGGTGCATGGATTTCCAAGCTGTCATTGGAAAGGAAAATCGATGCATCTTTCTTTATATGCAGCCTTCACATACTCAAGTCTTATTCTGGACAGTGGTAAGTCTAACCACCAAGTTCTTTTGTTTCAATAGTTGCAAGTCATTGAAATTCAAGTGGCCATATCTCACTAGTAAAACTCATCAGTATACTCATTTCTAAAAGCAACAGTCTGAAGTGATTTCATGTTCAAAGCAAAAATATTGTTTGCACGTATCTTCACCTATACTATTTTTTTATTAGTATTCTTATAAAAAATTTCACATTTATCATGATCAAAAATCAGTTTATAACCTTTCCTGATCATTTGTCCAACATTAAGAAGATTTTAATCAGTGCTAGGAGAATAAAAAAATCATGGATGCGTTTTTCATTACCTCTATTAATGTAGACTACAATAGCCCTTTTCCCTTCAGTCTTCATCTTTTTGTTGTCTCCAAGTTCAACACGAGAGGAATAGTTTTCATCAATCCACACAAAATTTGTTCAATCACCTTTAATATGGTGACTGCAGCCGCTATCCAAATACCATATATCTTCAGTTTGCTGCTTAATCTTCATGCAATAATAGAACAGTTGATCATCTTTTTTCTAAAAAAAATAGCTATATTTTTATCTCCACTATTTTCTCCTTTATGCCAACAATTTCTTTCTGAATGGTTACGATTTTTACTTTTACATATGGTGTATTTAAAATAGCAATCTCTGGCTTCATGGTCAGACCTTTTGTTGATGCTGAAACTCTGATCTTCCTATGCATCTACCTCTTTCTCTGCTTTTATTTTAATTATGGCCTTCACGTCCTCTACCATAGGATTCTCTTCTCGGAAATGAACTCTAATTCTGCTCTTGCTATAATTTTGTGGTCTTCCATTCAGGCAAATTAGTTTTGGCTTGAAAAGCTTGCTTTAATGGTTGCTTGTTATACAAATTCACCATTTGCTCACGTGCTTCAAGAGAACCCATCAATTCATGAATTGTAAGTTTAGACAAGTCTTTTGTCTCTTCAATGACAACAATTATATGCTCGAATTTTTGTGGCAAGCTTCTAAGGACCTTCTCAACAACTTTTTTTTTTCAGGAACAACATCCCGATAACTCTTTATTTGGTTGATGATTTCTGTAGCCTTTGAAAAAAAAATTCGAACATTATCTTCCATTGTAAGATTGTCAAATTCTCTCCACAAATTCTACAACCTTATAGAGATGGCTTTCTCTAAGCCTCTAAAATCATCATGCAAAATTTCCTACGCTTCTTTTGCTTTCTTAATAGATAAATTCTAGGATAAATGCATTTGCATACCCATTGATGGATGATCCTCAATGTTGTGACATTTCTGTGCACATTATTCATGTACTCTTTCTCATTTGCTTCCGTCCATGTCCAGGAAGAGGATGCTCCTGTTTCAAGCCGTTCTCTAAATCCTTCATCCACCAAACTTCATAAGCTTTGTGAAAGAAAGATTGTTTCCATTTAAGAGCTCCAATATTCATAATACTCTCCATAAAAAATAGGAATCTAAGTTGATACATGTTAAAGTGGTAGATGATGAAGCTATCTGAAGGAAGGCTATGATACCAAATTTGTTGGAAATATGCGGAAGATAAGTGAGTGAAAAAAAGAATTTTGATGAAAGTACTTAGTTCGATCTGCAGCTCAATACCTTTTCTATTGTCTCAGTATTTTCTGAATTGATAAAACATACAAGAGAATGACTCTATATATAGTATATTGACAATAAATTTTTTATTGAGAAACCTAGAGTTATAACAAGTTTCTAAATTGAGAAACATAAAAGACTTCTAGAAAACATAAGAGACTTTGATTCAATTAATACTCACATTGCAAATTACTTTTACATTTCTTTACAGATAATGGTGGTGATAAAGGCCGCTGAAGTGACAAAACAAGTGAATAGGTGGGCTGAAAAGGAGACCAATGACCTTATTAAGAAGGTCCTTCCTTCTGGATATCAATGGACAGTACCACAAGGCTTGTGCTGACGAATGCCCTCTATTTCAAAGGAGCTTGGATTGAGAAGTATGATTCATCAACTACTGAAGACTATGATTGGGCAACTTAAGGATTCTAAAATTTAAGATTTCCTTTGGGTTTAAAGCTTCTGAAGCTCTAGAGGGATTAGGCTTGCTGTTGCCTTTCTCTGGTGAGGCAGATTTCTGCAAAGATGGTAGACTCTTGGGGTGGGAACCTTTGTGTTTCGATTATATAGCATAAATCCTTCATTGAAGTAAATTAAGAAGCTTCTGTTGCTGTTGTAAAGATGTTTTTCGATGATAAGATAAAGTTTCTCTTCCTGATCAGAGAAGACAAGTCTTGAGCGATTCTCTCCATTGGAAAAGTGATTAATCCCTTGTAGGATTGTTGAATCTTCAATACTACCGGGAAAACAGAACATGTAAATCAGATCTAATATGTTCACATAAAACTATAATAAGCATCGATGTCTGTTTCATTATTGTATTTTGCTTATGCTATAGTGCCTTGCCTTGAGCAAGGTGCTAACTAGCAACTTCTTATCTTCATAGTTACTACATTTGCTATGTGATTTTCCTTTCTCAATGCAGACAAATTAGCACAAGTCTAAATTGAAACATGACAGATTCTATAGATTTGCCTTTTTCTATGTTATGTCACAGAATTCTATATGACTATTTGTAACCTTAAAACTTATGAAAGGAAAAGGTTGCTGTTTCTGTAATTGAATTACATACATTCCTAAAATAGTCATTCGATAACATCCTGACCATAGTGCAGCGTTTATATAGGAACGCCAAATAGATATCCAGTTGACACAAAGCAGTCAAGAGTGGCCCTTTTACTGAAGTTTATTGATCCAGTTGAGACAAAGCAGATAAGAGTTCAGAGCCAACTTCGACTTAATTTGACCTGTATGGCAACTTGGACAAAGGATGTATTGAAATTTGGCATTCAACCGTTTGCTTTTAATTGAAGATGCATCTGGTACTGAAATTTTGGCACATTGTCTAGTACTCTGGTTGAGAACATCGGAACCTGAATTAATGACTAATTTTACAGGCCCATGCAAAGAAAATAAGAACTTTAGCTAGATATCACGAGCCATGCTGGTGAAGAAAATTGGACGGCGACAAAAATTTAGCATGATCTTCAATTTTAAAAGTAAAATATTGAAAATCGAAAAAAAAAATCTTTAGTTTTTTTTTATAATTTTTTATTAATAATTATTACAAAATAATTAAATTTTGAAACAAATTCTTTATATCTATATGTAGAATCATTAGAAATTGAAAAAAAAATGATTATTTTAAAAAATTTCTTTAGAATTCTTTTTCAATTTTTTAATTATTTTATAATAATTTTTAATTATTCTAACTTTTAAAAAACTAATTTTAAAATAAAATTATATTTTTTTCTTAAATTGATACATATGTTCATTTGATTGGTCAAATGTTAATCAACTAATGAAAACTGATTAATTTGACAAAAAAAATTAACAAATGAGTACAAAGTTTAACATCACAAAATTTATTATGAAATATATCTAAATATAAGAATTGTAATAATATTTTTAATATAAGTTAGAAATATCTAGAGTATTTTAATCCTTAAAGAAAGTTCTTGGGGGATTCACCAAGACCCCACAGCGTTGTAAAAACGCTACCAACGCGGTGTCGACACAAAAATTTCGAAGTCCTCGGCAAGCGGCCACGTTAGGTGATGGGTTATTAAAAGACGTCGTCGTTTGGTGAAGTACAAGTGTTGAGGCTCTTTTGAAGAGAACAAAAGAATCCACCACCGTCCATGGATTTGTTTGATTTTGAAAATCTAACAGTTAAAGCTTTTATCAATGAGAAAGTGACGCCCCATCCCTCAGTGGCGCGGAACTGAAGAAAAAGAAAAAAGAAAACACCATTTTCACTCTGTAACGCCCAATTCCACACACAAGTAAAACAGCCAAACCAAATGGACCTCCGTGAATCGATCAGGATCCAAACCGACGTCGCATTGACGCTCTCCAAGCATATTCTCTTAACCGAATCCAACTACTCCAACTTGGTGTTCTCGCCTCTGTCTATTCAGGTGTTGCTCAGCCTCATCGCCGCCGGGTCCAAGGGCTCCACACTTGAGCAGTTGCTCTCTTTCCTCAAGTCCAAGTCCAGCGATCACCTCAGCTCCTTCTCCTCTGAGTTATTAGCGGTGGTTTTCATCGACGGGAGCGCCAGTGGTGGGCCAAGATTGAAGTTCGCCAACGGTGTCTGGGTGGACAAATTACTCTCTCTTAAGCCTTCTTTCAAACAGGTTGTGGACAATGCCTATAAGGCTGCTACTAACCAAGTTGATTTCCAAACCAAGGTACACTATTTCTTTTTATAACCATCATTTTGAGCTTTACAAATTACGTTAATTTTGTTGCTAGGAACTTAACCGGATAAATCCATTATTTTCTTGTAGTCTTATGAAATAGAAATATTGAAGCATTACAATTTGTATATTGTGGGAGAGAGATAGATATCTATCTATTTGGGTTTTCTGCTAGTAAAGTGTCTTATATTCTTGCTCAATTCTCCTGGCAAGGGTCTGGAATCTTCATTCGTTCTATTGTAGTTTTATAATCAGTAAATCCACAGCATAACTTATTAAATTTCGATTTCTTATTAATATGCTCTGAATTTCATTTTTCTCTTCTCTTTTGGGATGCCAAGCGGCAATATTGAATTGCTCTCTTTCAATACCTTGATATAATTTGCTGTTACTTCTTTATCATAAGTACTGTGATTTATAAGTAGGAGTATGACATAGGTATTAGTGTTTTCGAGATTTCTTGTACTGATTCCTGGGTAGATCTAATGATGCTATACTCTAGGTCATGTTATTTATTCATTTATTGGCTGTCCATACTAGTTATTTGCGTTTTAAGTTAATGTTGATGGTGATGATGAAGGCTGTTGAAGTGACCAATGAAGTTAACACATGGGCTGAAAAGGAGACTAATGGCCTTATCAAAGAGGTTCTGCCTTCGGGATCAGTTGATAGTACAACAAGGCTCATCTTAACAAATGCTCTCTATTTCAAAGGAGCTTGGAATGAAAAGTTTGATGCATCAACCACAAAAGATGATGACTTCTACCTGTTGAATGGGAGCTCAGTTCGTGTGCCATTTATGACTAGCAAGAAGAAGCAATTTGTTTGTGCCTTTGATGGTTTTAAAGTCTTAGCACTTCCTTATAAACATGGTGAAGATAAACGCCAATTTTCCATGTACTTCTTCCTTCCAGATTCTAAAGATGGGCTGCAAGCTTTGGTTGAGAAATTGGCTTCTGAATCTGGATTCTTAGATCGCCACCTTCCACCACAACGAGTAGAAGTGGGTGACTTCAGGATTCCAAGATTCAAGATTTCCTTTGGGTTTGAAGCTTCCAAAGGTCTAAAGGGATTGGGATTGGTGTCGCCTTTCTCTAATGAAGCAGACTTGACTGAGATGGTAGACTCTTCTGTAGGCCAGGGCCTGTGTGTTTCAAGCATATTTCATAAATCATTTATTGAAGTGAATGAAGAAGGCACAGAAGCTGCAGCTGCTTCTGCTGGTGTTATAGCATTGAGGGGTCTTGCTTTCTCCACTAAGATGGACTTTGTAGCTGACCACCCATTCCTTTTCCTCGTCAGAGAAGACATGACTGGAGTGGTGCTGTTCATAGGCCAGGTGCTCGAGCCCCAACAGGCTGATTAATCTTTCATACTGGAGAAATCGTGTATGTAGATCAAGACCAACAAATATAACTATGATATAGTTGTGGCTGGTTAATGTAATATGTTTGGCCTGTCCAGCGGTTGTTTGATGCAGGGTTCTAACTATTGTGACTACTGTATTTGCTTTGAAGTAGGTTCTTTTTCTCAATAACAGATTGTATGGATATGGCAAATTAATATGTTATGTTTGGATTCATCAATTGCTTGCAGTTATGAAACCCAAGGATGTGAGCTAATTTGCATTGTTAAACTCGTCTCTGAGGTCATGCAAACGTAATCTGAAACTATGGATTAGATTATCGTATTAAAATGAGGAAAAATTGATATTGCTACAACCCTGAATTGCCTGCAGCTAGAATGAAATTCATTAAAGGAACGGTTGCGCTTTCAAGTCAGAAAATGATGCAGGAAAGCTTGGGCATTAGGCTTTTTGTACGGATACATCAGATGCGGTTCTACGCTGCAGATCCAGCCTACTTCGGCGTTGTTGTCACATCGCATAATTATATGTTTCAAGGACATTCCATCATCCAAGTAAATGAAGAAGGCGCAGAATCTGCAGCTGCTGTGGCTGATGCTTTCCCTAATCCTTAACCAAGATAGACTTCGTAGCTGACCTCCGGTTCATCATTAGGGAAAACAGGGCTGCAACAACGTTGCTGATTTGCGCAAGTGCTGGAGCCTAGGTTCATTAAAACTTCATTCTGCAGCACATGTGCAAGTAAATCAAGCCTAACTGACGAAGGAGTACAACACATTTGCATCTGTTGGATTTAGTTTTTGCCGGTCCTATAGTTGCCTTCAATGGTTGCTTAATGCAGGATGCTATCTTCTCTGAGGTGTTTGCCCCAGAGTGGTTCTTTTTATATTAAGTCTTGCGTAAGTTGAGAAAATTGCAAATATGTACCCATTGAGACCGCATAATTCAATGTTTTTTCACTTTTATCTCTGAGAAAAGTAAAACAGATACACAAGCAAACCGTCTTCCATTTCTGAACCCAAAAGCAGATAGTTTTTACAAAGATGAGATCCCTCCTCGAAATAAAAACAAAACATGTCATTCAAGAGCAGCTGCGCCTGGGACTAGTTGACGGACCATGCAAGGCAGTTAGACGACGTGTCGAGCGTTCTTTAGGATCATTTAGCTTCGCGTCATGAGCATAGAGGGTTATAGCCACAGAAACAAGAATTGCTCCTAAGCACAACACTGCGTAGCACTGGCGACCCACCCTCCCTAATAATCCCTGAAGCACCATATCCATCTCTTCGCTCTTTAATAGTTGCGAATCTCTACGTATATGGAGTGACATGGAAGTGGTCGAGCAACTATATATGTATAAACAGAAGAAAGGGCTGGCGTAGGTTCAAGTGAGAAACAGGGGGCAGAGGCAGAAACGAGACGGCCCCTCGGAAAGTTGGAAACAAGGGGATGGTTTGAAGGCAGTGGTTGTCGTTTTGCATGGCAGAAACTTTCCTAGACTTTTAGCATGACAGCAAACTTTGTTGCTGTGGATCTGTGTTACTTGCCATTTGTCTTTTTTGTAGCATTTTATTCATCGGATAAAGATATTTACTGTTGGAAAAAGTGAAAATGAACTTGGAAAAGAACATAAATATGTATTACTTAATTGCGTGTATAAAATACCCTACACTGTTCTTAAGGTGATCATTGCCCCCACTATAATGTTGCAGGGATTTTAGCAATTCACCTCTAGGATACAATTTTCGCACACAAGGAACTGCAGGCAGCACTCTCGAAATTCCTTCAAGAGAATATCTCTTAAAGTTGTAGAGTTTTAGAAGGAAAATAATTTTTGAGAGGAGAGGAGTATTGCAGAGAATGTAATTGATTTCGTTACGTGCTGTAGTCCCTTATTTATAGACTACCGATATCATTTTATAACAAACATGATTGTTGATTCTAACAGTCATAATCCAATAGTCATAGTCTGTTGGACCCTAACGTACATAATCGTTAGATTCTAACAATCATAAGGTTTGAAAGCTATCAATAACTAACTAACTGCAATGAGAAAATTAAAAACGTAATTAATTAAATAATTACGAATTTAATTACATTAAGAAATAAAAATAAATTTCTTCAATCAATTATTTAAAAGTTTTGCTAGATACCCACTTTATAAGTCGTCTCTTATTTTCATTCCTTTCCAATGTGGGATAAAATCCCACTTGAAAGCACTTTCAAATTCCCTTCATAGTACACTTAACTTATTATCTAACATTCCTAAGATTTATAACATTTACTTATTCTTATGTAATTTAAAGCTTTTTATATATTCTTAAGTTCTTAATTGTATTTATTTATTTTTAAAAATATTTGAAATATTAAATCTATCATTTTAGATCAATTTTCCCGATTATATGAAATTTTTTATATCGAAATATCTTTGATTGAATTGCGAATATATATATATATAATTTTTATAATTTCAAAAATAAAACATACATGTTATGTGATTTTAAATATTTTTTTTGTTGTATTTTTATAAAGAATATTTTAATTAAAAAAATTGTTCAACGTCAAAACATTCAATGACAAATGGATATAATTAAAAATCTAAGAATAGACGAAATATTTTGAATATTATATAAAAATATAAGGATATATTTACTTTTTATTTATCGTTGGAAACATTTTCTTTTAAGACTAAGGTAATTTTTGTTATTCCAAAATGCTATTTTTTTTTTTTTAATCACAAGAGGCAGGAAGTATTGTTGAATAGATCCAAGTAATTAGAATCCTGCTCCTAGAGCTTGCTTTCGATTCAAAGTTTTTGGTTAGAAACTTTTTTCTTATTTTCTCTCTCTTAAACAATTATTAATGTCTTAGATTTTTTTTTTCATTATTTACATACATGACCAGAACATTCGTTTATATTGTTAGTTTTCAATCCATGGCTTGTTAACATTGGATATTGGTAACTACCGTTATAAGTATCTATATCATTTTAATTATTATTAAAATAATTTTTTAATTATTATTTTTATTCGTTTTAAACTCAGATATTAAAAATTTTAAATTTTTATTCATATTTTTAATTGTTATTCCAAATATAGTATGAAAAAATAAATATTATTTCTAATTTTTAATTTTAATTTTGATTTTTATATTTCGATTTCGTATATTTTATTTATGATAACCAAGCTATACGTTAGTGTATTTGTTAGATAATAAATAATTGTAATGTAATAGCAGCCAAGTACAAGCAGCAGTACCCCCGATACAAAGTATTTCAAAATTTCTACGATTGATTCCTAGGTAAAGTCTAATTGATCATAAGTTAGTGATATTACATTCTAGATCATGTTATTACTCATTTATTGATTTTTAGCTAGTAGTTACTATTGTTCTAAGCTGATATTCATGGTCTTAATGTTAATTAATGTTGATGGTGGTGTTATGGGCTGTTGAAGCGATCAATAAATTAAAGGTTCTGCCTTCAGGCCTCAGGGTCAGTTGACAGTATAACCTGACTTATCTTGAACAAATGGACTCCATTTCATAAGGAGGTTGAAGAGGAAAGTTCGATGAATCAATTAACTAAAATAGAGACCATGACTTCTGCCCGTTGATGGGAGCTCAATTTTTGTGCCATTTTATGACTAGTAAGAGGAATTAAGCATTTAGTCCACGCCGTTGATGGTTTCAAGGTCCAACGACTTCTTACAAATAAGGTGAAGATAAGCGCAAATTCTCGAAGCACTTCTTCCTTTCAGAGGCTAAAGTTATGCAGCCAGCTTCGGTAGAGAAAAGGCCTTGTGATTCTGGTTGCTTAGATCCCAACCTTCCACATCAACGCGTAGATCGTGGGTGATTTCAGGATTCCAAAGGTTTAAGATTTCCTTTTGTGCTTTCTTTCTTGTTGTTGCAGAGTTTGCGAAGTTATAACCAATATAGCTAGGATGCAAGATAATTTAAATTGACAGTAATTTTTTTGTTATTAAATCCTGGCAAAGCTCAGGTGGGTAGAAGGTTAGGCTAAAATCAAGGAGGTAAAGTTGATTTTCTATAATCTCGAATTTCATGCATTTTCTCTTCAATTCAGAATATTTCAAGCTTTTGTTTGCCTAGCTTGAAATATAATCGGTCTTTCTTTCGCCACCTTTAAAAAAGTGTTGTACTTGGATTTTAATTTTTTTAAAAAAAACAAATATGTTCGTAAGTCTGAGTTGACTAATGACTGGTCCTTTAATTTTCATTTTTGCGGCACGTGTTTCTGATCTGAATTGAAGGCACGATTTTAGCTTCGTCATATTGTACATTGCTTCAAAGACATCAAAAGCTGTACTGAAGATGCCAGGGGAGAGAGAGAAGGGGCACGTTGCTGCTCTTCCTTTCTCTTGAATTGTTCTGGTGTACTTTGGATTCAGATCTTGCATATGGATTGATGTTTTTATAGTTTGAGCAGGAGGATTATATTATATGGAGAACCCTAAAATGCCTATACTTGAAAGCATAGGTAATAATTATTACGATAACTGAATTTCAATAAAATAGCAAAATCTTCTTACTGGGCTGGAGGAAGTTTTTTTCTTTTTCTTTTTTAGAGAAAGTAGAGGAACTGTTAATGGCATGTGAAAATATCTTGAGTGAATTATAACTTAGTTCTTTTATTTTTGAAAAATATGATAACGAGTCCTTTTTATTTTAAAAATAAACTATTTAATCTCCCGAATATAACTGACTTGTTATAAAATAATGAATGTCCATATGAATGTCCATCTACTTTTCATATCTCCACTATTTATGATCCTTAATGTGATTCAATTCACCATTCAATATAAGAAATTGAAAGGGTGATGCAATTGATGTACTTTTAATTATTCATAATCCATTCCAATTCTCATCTCAATTTTGAGGCCTTTAAATAGGCTTGATTGCTCATTTGTTGATGTACAAGTTTCCTAGAGAGAATAAGAGAAACTTTGAAGTTCTTATCACTCATATTCACATTATAA